CTATGGATTGGGAACTGTGATGATGGCACAACCATTCACGTTGCATGGGTTTTCTTCCATGGTAGTCAGTCGTGCCTGAACCCTGTACTCCCAGCTGCGTTCCTTGCCGTAACCATCATCGTACATTAAAAAGCAATTAGGTTTGTTGGGCGACGTTGCGGCAGGACTTCCTCCCTCGTGTGGTCCCCCCAGATTCTGCTCCAGAAGGTTGGAGGGACCCTCTTGAGCAGTTTTTAGGGTGCACAAGGGGGGGCAAGTTAAGAGAAATTTTCAGTGCCATCGCACAAGCAGATTTTTGTTCTGCAAGCAGGCAGACGTGTTGCCCGCTGCTTTCATTAAATGCTTGTGATTTAAAGACACCTATCGATGCCTCCTGCTGCGGCGACGATGTGTGATGTCACATGCTGATGTCACACACGTGTGCCGGGCACCCACAATGTTGGGTGGAACCCGACACACCATCTCCCTGCCTTTTCACTTGGAAAAAGAGAAACTCACTATCCCCATTTTAATTCCTCGCTTAACATTCTGGCTGACCTTGGGCAAGTCACTTTATCAGCCTGCTTCTCTGGGTTATTTTAATTCTAAAAAGCTGCTCCAAGCTTGGGTGAAAAGGAGGGCGGTTTTACAAATATGGCAAGAGCTTCCGATATATTTTGATACCCACATCTTCTTCTTCAACCTGAATGTTTTTGCTCCTGCAGATGGAACAACACACCTATGGATGAAGCCTTGCACTTTGGACATCATGATGTATTTAAAATTCTTCAAGAATATCAGGTCCAGTACACGCCTCCGGACGATTCTGGCAGTGGAAAGGAAAACCAAACTGTGCAGAAGAACCTTGACGGCTTACTATAACCCTCTCCCCCCCCCCCCTGCTAGATCCCAGGAATTGAGATTACTGATCTAATTAATTGTGGAAAAAATGATTATGAAGAGCGTGTGTGTTTCTATTGGATAGTGATGTACCTTTGTTTCAGTGTTACAAGAGCTTTCTTCATCGCGCACAGACAAGTCTAGTTTCTCTTTCAGAAAAACAAAACTTCCAAGTCTCCATTCATGATGTGAGCAATATTACCTCGTGCTACTTATAACCGATAGAGAGAAAAAAATATTAGCTGCTGTTGGCTTTGTGCACTACTTAATTTATTTTTCTGTTTTCCGTGATGCTTCACTCCATGGTCAAGAACTCCCCCCCCCTTCTGCATTTATTTTTTTAAAAAATATATTAATTGAAGCAGTCTGGGAAGTATGCCTGAGTGGAACTGGGCCACACACAAGTGTCAATGTGGTCTTGCTAGATTTTCAAGATTTGTTGCTGACGTGGATTTCGTTTGGATGTGGATTTAGTCTGTGTGTGTCGAGCTACAATCTGCACTTACGTATTTGTGTTTTTAATTTCCCATGATACTTGTTTACATCATGTAAATTCTCAGAAGTATAGATTGTTGACTGGGGTCAGTGGTCTAGGCTTAACTTTTTATTCAAATAGTGTTTTTATCAGGGAATCTGTTCTAAGGTTTGTTTGACCAAAAGATATAGAGGAATGTAATTAGATAACCACGAGATCTTAGATGTTTCTATCAAATCTGCTTTATCCTTGTGCTTTATCCTGAAATACTCTTCAGTCCTTTGGCAGCCGCTGGTTCTTTTCAACACTTTTTGTTTTCACCAAATTGTCGTATTGGACTATGACTGACGGCAAGTGTTTCCTCCTTGTATTCTTTATTTAGCAGTGACAAATGTTTTATTCCAGTCAAAGACCTGCAGGTATAAATAGAGAACCTGGCATTTTATAGTGTGTAAATCTAAATTCAAATTATTTGTGGATAAAGGTGATGTGGGGGCTGGTTTCACGCCAGGGGAAATAATTGCAACAATGGTGTCAGAAGGGTACTTCCAACTAACCTCCACTCTCAACTTGGTGACACTCATGCCATGTGCAACTTGTTTAAGGGACCTGACCAAAGCAGCTAATGGTGATGTTGTTATTATGGACGCTCATCATGTCAGAATCAATCTAGATGCAAACAAATGGCATTTTATAAAGGTAGGAGCTATATTAAATATCTATGAGCTTGAAATAAGGATTCCATGTGGTGTTGATGTTGCTACCCCTCCTGTGGAAGATCAGCTGAGCCATTACTAGAGAGTGGACTGGGTTTTGTTGAAGGAAACAATGACTGAAGTAGAATGATTTGCATCCTTAAGGAAATGCTTACACCATAGAAAGACGAGGGGTTTGAGACTGAGCATATGAAGAGATAGGCCTGAGATTTTACCTTATAATAAGCAGTGGATCAGAACTGGGTTGCAGGCCATATGAAGGTGGATTGCACCAGAATCATAGCCACCATTTTCTGTTATTTTTGTTGTATAATAAGGAAGAGTAGATAGTAAAGCCAGGAGGAGGAAAGGAGACGCACAGAAAAACACACGGTATGGGCGTGAGGATCCAAAACAGGTCCTGCATAACAAGTGAGGCTTAAAAGTGGATTCCAAAAATAAAAGATGGAAGTTGCACATTTTAGCTAACCTCTCATTACTGGGAGAATATCCTATTTGTTCACAGGTTTTAGGAGTTTCTTTCAAGAACTCCACATGCTTTATTTTCCTAAATGCCATCCACTGGGCTCTGTGCCACACCCCTCCACTCATGTTCTTTGAGCCAAATTGAGGACAGAGTTTACTGCAACTCCTCAGGAGTGCTTAGCATATTCTGCGAAGACTGAACGTATAAAAGTCCATTTGCCGGGCCTAGAGAGTCATAGCTGTTCTTTTCTCCAAAACGAATCATATTCTACATGTATCTCCTTAAAGTATTCAAATTTATCCTTTTGACATTTCAGTAGTCTATAGTTATCACTATTTAATCAAATTGTAATACTGCAAAAGAAAAAATAAAGCATTATGCATACAAGCAAATGAAAGCCATTTCCCCTCAAATAGTTTGAGATTAACATTAGTATTTCCACCCTGCCAGTAGATAGCAACTACAGTGGTGCCCCGCAAGACGAATGCCTCGCAAGACAAAAAACTCGCTAGACGAAAGGGTTTTCCGTTTTTTGAGTCGTTCCGCAAGACGAATTTCCCTATGGTCTTGCTTCGCAAGACGAAACGTCTTGCGAGTTTGTTTCCTTTTTCTTAAAGCCGCTAATAGCCGTGCTTCGCAAGACGAAAAAACCGCAAGACGAAGAGACTCACGGAACGGATTAATTTCGTCTTGCGAGGCACCACTGTATTTTAGTACCAGCCTCTTCGAAGGTAGTTATAGCTTTTCCTCATTAGAAGAGGAAGTTGCAATTTGTAAAGTAATTGTGGCCCATTGGAGGCAGTTCATTTACATGTGGGTTTATTTATAAATACACTGTCCTTTAGTTCTGTTTTCTGTTGCTAACATGTTTTTTGTTTACCAAAAAGGCTTGTTTTGCTTGAAGAACACACTCAGTTTTAAAGTCTAAGCAGTCTATACTTGTTCATCACAGCCTATAGAATTAAGTCAATTTTATGCTTCGTACATAAATGGCTCCTGCAATAGTCCTAGAATCAGCTATCCCATTTTTTGTGTGGATGTGTTGTGCTGGACGCATGTCCTTTTTAGCTTCATAGCAGAACTACCAGTGACTGTTTGTAGTGACCCAATGAGTAAAATACCTGGGCTTGACATTTGACATTCTTTATTGTAGAGGAGAAACTATGATGATTGTATTTGCCTCTTGACAGTTTCCCCATAAACTGAATCTAAACTTAATATACTTGAGCTGTACCACTTCTGAACGTAAGATTTATTTTCAGGATTACCAAATTCAGTGGTGTTGCATTTTACAACATAATAAACATGCTTACAAAAAAACAAAGGTGGTTTGCTTTTTCTTCCCCCATTTATGCCTGTGTGTTCTCAGTGGAAGCATATTAATTAAGCTTTTCATTCTTTCTATAGCAGCTTTACAAACACATTTGCTGAGTGATTGTGGGGGGAGTCAAGTCTGAACTTGTGTATTGTGAAATGTGCACTGCTGGGACTCTAGTTTGCTTAAGAGGATTGTATTGCTTTCAGGGTTGCATAGAGGGGCTGTAGAACTAATCTTTCTGGAGTTGAAGTGAGACACACAAGCCTTAGCCACTCAACAGCCTATGCAACAGAATCAGTCTCTTAATTCCCTCCACAATCTAGACTCTCTCCAGAAAGCAATTCCCTTTTAACGAAAAGACACACCATGGGAAACCATTACAGTGGTACCTCGGGTTACATATGCTTCAGGTTACAGACTCCGCTAACCCAGAAATAGTACCTCGGGTTAAGAACTTTGCTTCAGGGTGAGAACAGAAATCGTGCGGCAGCAGCGGAAGGCCCCATTAGCTAAAGTGGTGCTTCAGGTTAAGAACAGTTTCAGGACCTCCAGAACGAATTAAGTACTTAACCAGAGGTTCCACTGTATTCCATTAGCAACCAAACACACCGAAGGTGTGCCACAATTACACATGTGTCATTAGGCACTGCCACTTATTTACAGTCTTCAAACTTTCTGTGTCATTTATGGTCTGCCAACACAGAATGCAAAATACATGGGATCATTAAAAGGTTATCACGGCAGGAATAGGGGACCCCCCCCCCACCTCTAGCAATGCTGCTTATTTTGCAAATTCATCCTTTTACTGAATGGCTCTGATACGCAGAGCGTGCCTGTAACAAAATCTATATACCACTTGATTGCAATAAAAGCGGCTTACTGGATAGAACCCTACAGAATGGGCATATTATTTTGGGGGGCACTCCTGGTAAAAACTGACTCCACCACCAGATGAGTTACGAGAGCTGGGACTATTACCTGCCTCTGCCCTCTAAATGCTTTCAGCGTTAAGTCATTAAAGCGTTCCTGTATTTAGGAAAAGATAACCAGGTATATAATAGGGAATTCTGCTCTTTAAAATTGGGCACAGCAACAACCGTGATCCTGTTGCTGAACTCTGCAGTAACTCTTAGCTGCAAATCCTGATCCACCTGTTCAGTTTTGTTTTAATGACACAACAATACACAATTAAGACAGGAAGAAGCAATTTTCTCTTGCAAACCATTCTTTGGAATACTACAGAGAAAAAGAAGGTGGCAGTGCAGAAAAGTAAACATTTCCTCTAGTATCTTTATGTATTCCGATAGAATCGGACAGTTGGCAGCATCCCCCAGGGCCATCGCGTCCAACCTGCCACCCCCCCGGCAGTGCTGAAACCTTTTGCCCAACGTGGGCATGTTCTACCAACTGAGATATCCCTCAGGATCTTCAAAGTTCCTGGGGGACTCCTTGCCTATTTCCACACCAGTGCTCTGCATTTGGTGAATGATCTTGTTCCCACCTCCAGCAACACGCTTTCACTTAGCTTTCCTGTAGGCCAAAATGGAATCGCAAGTGTTAGAATAGGCACAAGTGCTGTGTACTTGGGGTACAATGCTTATGTCAAGCTACACCCCATGGAACAGGGGGTGTACGGTGGTACCTCTAGATGTGAACGGGATCCATTCCGGAGCCCCGTTCGCATCTAGAAGCAAACCTAACTAGCGACAGCGTGTCTGCGCAAGTGTTGCTTTTCGCTGCTTCTGCGCATGCACGTGACATCATTTTGAACGTCTGTGCTCCGTTACTTCCGGGTTGCCGCGGAGCGCCACTCGAACGTGCTCAACCCGAAGCACATTCAACCCAAGGTATGGCTGTACTTTGAAAGAGACACAACTAGGACTCCAGCTAGTCAGGACTGCGCAGTTAACAGTACCCCACCAAGAAGTCCAGAATTGTATGCATTTTGCCTCTCTTCGACACAGCAACAAAAACAGATTTGATTTCTGTAGGAAATCTAGGCTTCCAATTTGAACGTTCTTGGTGCTTTGTTTTTAAAAGAATATTCCATTTCACATGGAACAAGCTAGGAATGCATGCAAAGCTAATCAAATCAAATCGCCATAAGCACACACCAACTGACACACACACAAAAAAGTTGCTGGAAAATAAGTTACGTCCTGGAGCGCTAGCCTAAACCACTATTTTCGTAACAAAAGAACAAACCCTTTAAACTTTTTAAAGCTGCGATTTCGGCAAACAAAGCAGTACAGCAGCAATACATAAGGCACTGCAGTGCTCAGAAACCAGAACTGCGTAATATGGATTCTACAGCCGTTATAGGTCCTCAACTCACAAGTGGCTAAGTCTTGATGCAGGCCTAGCCAGTCAGCCCTTATGTTCAATAATCTGGACATAGCTGGAAAAGAAAAGAAAAAAAGACAGGTTACCCAAGTGACAATGACGAATGACACTTAACATTCTACACTTTTGGTGGAATGCTTGATCCTACAAATCCGCTTTTAACCAGCTGAAGAGCAGCTCTTGAGTCCCATGGCCTGTGCACCAGCTTATTCACTATTATTTAAAGGAGGCTGCTTGGAGAGATGCAAGCAGATACAATGCCCTGCATTAACTCGGAAAGCAGTGGGGCAAAGCCCCAATGCACAATGGCCTATTTTCCACTTCATCATCACTCCCCCCCGCCACACACACCAAAAAAACAGTGTCTCTTAACAGGAGATCAGGGTTAAAATTGGGATTGCTATAAATTGCACTGGCTGGCTTTGAGTAAGGTAAAGGTAAAGGTAAAGGGACCCCTGACCATTAGGTCCAGTTGTGGACGACTCTGGGGTTGCGGCACTCATCTCGCTTTATTGGCCGAGAGAGCCGGCGTACAGCTTCTGGGTCATGTGGCCAGCATGACTAAGCCACTTCTGGCGAACTAGAGCAGCGCACGGAAACGCCATTTACCTTCCTGCCTGTGCGGTACCTATTTATCTACTTGCACTTTGAAGTGCTTTCGAACTGCTAGGTTGGCAGGAGCAGGGACCGAGCAACGGGAACTCGCCCCGTTCTGGGGATTCGAACAGCCGACCTTCTGATCAGCAAGTCCTAGGCTCTGTGGTTTAACCCACAGCGCCACCTGCGCGTAAGTTATTACAGTTAAATTGGTGTTTAAGATAAAAGGGACAGCTCAGTTATGCTGCCTTAAGGAAAAAACCTTATATCCATAGTCTACACTGGGGTCGGCAACCTAAGGCCCAGGGGCCACAAGCGGCCCACGGGGGTCATTTAACCGGCCCACGAGCTGCCCCCGAACCGAGTCGCCTGCTTGGTGAGTCCCCGCACGCTGCGCTAAACCGGAGCAACGTGGTGCAGGGACTAACTTCCACAGCGTTGAAAATTGTGTCTGCACAGACACCGGAAATTGTGGGCACGTGCACTCACACACGCGCGATCTGGCCCACGGAGGGATCTCTGCTGGAGTGAACTGGCCCAGGCGAGGTAAACCTTGCCAACCCCTGGTCTACACTTCTGCTCATTGGAGGAAATCCAGAGTTGAACATCCCCTAGCAAAGGGGGAAAGGTTGTTGTTTAGTCGTTTAGTCATGTCTGACTCTTCGTGACCCCATGGACCAGAGCACGCCAGGCACTTCTGTCTTCCACTGCCTCCCGCACTTTGGTCAAACTCATGCTGGTAGCATCGAGAACACTGTCCAACCATCTCGTCCTCTGCCGTCCCCTTCTCCTTGTGCCCTCCATCTTTCCCAACATCAGGGTCTTTTCCAGGGAGTCTTCTCTTCTCATGAGGTGGCCAAAGTATTGGAATCTCAGCTTCACAATCTGTTTTTCCAGTGAGCACTCAGGGCTGATTTCCTTCAGAATGGAGAGGTTTGATCTTCTTGCAGTCCATGGGACTCTCAAGAGTCTCCTCCAGCACCATAATTCAAAAGCATCAGTTCTTCGGCGATCAGCCTTCTTTGTGGTCCAGCTCTCACTTCCATACATCACTACTGGGAAAACCATAGCTTTAACTATACGGACCTTTGTTGGCAAGGTGATGCTTTTTAAGATACGATTTTGCCTTAAAGCTAACAGACTCCAGGGTAGCTTCTTCAGTTCTGCAGGGCAGAGGTTTTCAACCTTTTTTGAGTCCACTGCTTCGTCAACCAACTACATTCTTTCTGTGGCTCCCCTGTGGGGCTCAGTAGCTCAGTTATGTCACCCCTTGCCTGCCAAGCTGTCAGCCCCTCACCCCTTTCTTGGACACTCTTGTGGAGGGTTCCCTCAGCCTCCTTCCGCCTCCCTTCTCCTCTCCTTAGGAATCCTCGCTTGCTTGCTTCCTGCGGCCACCATCACCCCAGCTGGTCCCAGAGGCACCATTCACTTCAACAAACACTGTGCAAGCCTCTGGAGGGGGAGAGGTGAGGGCATCAGAGAAGAGGGTGGGAAGGAGGGAGGGAGGGAGGGCAAACCTGACCACGATTCAAGGCACCCCAGGGTACCACAATGCACTGGTCGAAAACCACTGCCACAGGGTATTGCTGAAGCACACCTGTAGAGTTTACTAACTGCTGCTCAGCAAGAAGTTCTTCCCTGTGTTACTAAGATATTACTAAGTACGTTTCCGAGCACAATTCAAAGTGTTGGTGTTGACCTTTAAAGCCCTAAACGGCCTCGGTCCTGTATACCTGAAGGAGCGTCTCCACCCCCATCTTTCAGCCCAGACACTGAGGTCCAGCGCTGAGGGCCTTTTGGCGGTTCCCTCACTGCGAGAAGCCAAGTTACAGGGAACCAGGCAGAGGGCCTTCTCGGTAGTGGCACCCACCCTGTGGGAACACCCTCCCAGCAGATGTCAAGGCAATAAACAACTATTTTACTTTTTTAAAAGACAACTGAAGGCGGCCCTGCTTAGGGAAGTTTTTAACGTCTGATGCTGTACAGTGGTACCTTGGGTTACATACGCTTCAGGTTACAGATTCTGCTAACCCAGAAATAGTGCCTCAGGTTAAGAACTTTGCTTCAGGATAAGAACAGAAATCGGGCTCCGGTGGCGCGGCCGCAGCAGGAGGCCCCATTAGCTAAAGTGGTGCTTCAGGTTAAAAACAGTTTCAGGTTAAGAACGGACCTCCGGAACGAATTAAGTACTTAACCCAAGGTACCACTGTATTGTTTTTAATATTCAGTTGGAAGCCGCCCAGAGTGGCTGGGGAAACCCAGCCAGATGGGCGGGGTATAAATAATGAATTATTATTATTATATTATTTAAGATCACGCTAAGTCTCTCGGGGATCACGGTACTATGTGAATTTCTTGCATCCATGACAGATAAGCAAGGCTTCAGAAGCCCCCGGCTTTGTGGTTTACTCACCATCATGTCTGCAGAGCCTATCGCTCGTTTGACCTCGTCAAAATCTTCCGGGGACATTGGCAAGAGGTTATCCGTGCTCTGCAGTTTGGAGGGGTGGCTGCAAGATAAGAAGGAGGGAGCGGGAAGAAAACAACAAGAACGTGACTGTTTCTAATGAGCTGGGAGCAACCAGGGAATCACTAGTCCTGGTATCAGCGAGGTTGGGGAACCAGACGCCGAGCAGATGTTGGGAGATCAGTGCCCACCATCCCCAGCAAAAAAGCCAAACTGGGTGTGACTGATGGGAGTCAGATCTAACAGCACCTGGAGGGAGACTGGTTCTCCTCACCCCTGCGGTAGAGGATACCTCTGGCCAAACTGTTAATTTAAAGTGCTCGAAACCATTAAGCGTTGCCCAAAGGCAATGTAAGCCCAACAGCGGACCCTTCTTGTCCTGCTAAGACAATCGGATCGCCTCGAACAGCACAGTAGAATTTTAACAGCATCCCCCAATACTATTAGGGCACAGAAGTCTAGCGTTACCCTTGCCAATACAGGAGCTAAACGTGAACCAGACCCAAGTGGGGAATCATCCCTGTACAGAGGCCTAACTGGCAATGCAAGCGTTAAGTTAGGATAGCCACACCTTCGGAGGCGGTTCCTATTTGATACACGGCGCATGCAATCCATGCTCAGGCATGCACAGTTAAATATAAGCAGCCCGGTAAGGAGCTAGCGCACGAATTCAGAGGGGCAGGGAGAGATCGTGTGTTTGAATATCCTACATGCTGCACGGAGATGGCCTTAAAAGTCTTCCAACTGTTGCCATGTCATACATTATTATTATTATTATTATTATTATTATTATTATTATTATTCTAAAAACCATGACTTTACCAGATCTGCCTATATGTTAGGACACTTTGGGAGGCTGGGCCAGTGTGACATGTAAAAAATTAGGGCTGCAAACTTTAATTAAAAACCCTTCAAATCAATTTTAAAAGGCAATCCTGGTTAATTGGACAACACCTTTAAAAAAAATATGGTTAGTTAAGAGAAATATTATCTACACTGACTGGTAGTGATTTTCCAGGGATTCCCACACCTACAAGGAGACACCAGAGGTCTGATTGCGAAGCTACTGCGCTACTGCTAAGCTATAGCTCCACCCATTTACCCATATATGGTTGATGATGTCATTCCAGGGGGAGTGGCTACAAAGCTGATGGAGCCTGCTCCCCGATGGATGAACAAGAGAGAAGTCTGGAATATTATTTAACTTACAGTGGCATACTGTGTTCTCAATTATATAGCTGGAAACTGATAAAAGGGCTCTCTAGGATAGAGAAGGAGCCTATATACTTTATTAGCATTAAAGAACTGGGAACTGTATCAAAACACATACAACAAGACAAGTGTCCCTGCCTTCTAGGCTTACAATCTAATTTGTTTAGAGAGAGTCAAATGGATGGGGAACAATCTTATCTATCTACAGTATCTATCTATCTATCATCTATCTATCTATCTATCTATCTATCTATCATCTCTATCCACCTACTTCACACACACAAGGGGCAAGTTTTAAATCAGAATATTGAAACACACTAACTGAAGGAGCAGACTGGGTTTTGTGGGGGGAGGTGTTGAGTGTTCCAGTGGGAAAGAGAGGGGGCAGCTAGGGAACAGAGGGTGCAATTTGGGGTTTATGGAGGAAGGGGAACCAGAGGAATGCAGAGAGTGGGCAGGGAGACCACAAAGAGATTTAGCAAAGGAAAGAATGATCTGAGTGATGGGACAAGCAGAAGGGGGCACTGAGAAAAGAGAAACCAGGTCCCCCCCCCTTAGGAAGTTGCCTGCCTAAAGCATTGCTGCTCCTTTGTGCCACCTGTGGGCTCAGCCCAGGCTCCGAGTCCCTTCCCTTTAGACTCCCCCCACCCCCAGCTGCATCCCCTTGCCAGCTGACAACCCAGTAGTCGTAACCCTTTGCCCCCCTTCCAAAAACAAAACAAAAAAAGCCCTGGGGAAATCTGGTTGTCCATCCCAAATTAAGTACCGCCAAAGAAGCACATTATACCAATATCCAAAATTAACATTTTATTTTGACATTTCTTTGTGCGTGAGGTTTTTCCGCCCCCCCCCCCTGGAGTGCGCAGTGCATGTGTTTGGAAGGCAAGACGGTCCATGGGAGGAGCTTCTGGAGTCAGCCTAGGCATGAACAGGTTATATAGTTCAGCTGTGCTGGTACCCCAGAGGTCACTATGAAGGTCCGTACTGCAAAAGCAGCAAGGAAGGTGTGTGTATATGTGGGGTGGCGGGGGTGGGGAGTGTTCTACCCTGTAATAACAACACAGGAATTTCACTTCTTAGCATCTATCACAATTGGTTTTTTTTAAAGTACATTCAGCTGTCTTCTCAGCAAACTCACACTTCAGACACAGAGATTAATTCAGTTTTGATGTATCCTTTTCCTCCGCCGTCCACATCCATGGGTTCTGCGGCTAAAATGATGAAAGAAAAACACATACAAAACCCAGTTTTAGTAACTACGGCTGGTTCATCCAGCCAAAAATGGCCAATGGTCAGGGGCTCATGGGAGTTGGGAGTCTAGCAACTTCCGGAGGGCCGTGCAGATATTCCAACCCCTAGTATAATAATAATAATAATAATAATAATAATAATAATAATTTATACCCCGCTCATCTGGCTGGGTTTCCCCAGCCACTCTGGGTGGCTTCCAACAGAATATTAGTAAAGGAACCCCTGACCATTAGGTCCAGTCGTGGCTGACTCTGGGGTTGCGGCGCTCATCTCGCTTTATTGGCCGTACAGCTTCCGGGTCATGTGGCCAGCATGACAAGCCGCTTCTGGCGAACCAGAGCAGTGCACAGAAACGCTGTTTACCTTCCCGCCAGAGCGTTACCTATTTATCTACTTGCACTTTGACATGCTTTCGAACTGCTAGGTTGGCAGGAGCAAGGACCGAGCAACGGGAGCTCACCCCGTCATGGGGATTCGAACCGCCAACCTTCTGATCAGCAAGTGCTAGGCTCTGTGGTTTAACCCACAGCGCCACCCGCATCCCTAACAGAGTATTAAAATACTACAAAAGCACTCCCTACTTTTCTTGGGACTTCACTTTAATGTAAAGACAACAGTTGGGTTTCCTCGAACGAGACTTGCCAGTGGAAGCCCCCAGCAAGGACTTCCGCTCGTACAATGGGGCTCCCCCGCCCTCTGCACCCAATTGGCTTGGGGTGGGGCTAAGAGAGACCCTCCACAATGGCACGAGGTGGAGGGGGGGAGAGGGGGGGTTGTTCTGCCCGGCAAGATGAAACACTTGTGCTGATTGAAAACACTGATGTTGGAATTCCAACCCCGTAACAATTCTGTCCATATTGGCAACCATGACATCGCAGCGGATGCACCCAGAATTGTCAAAAAGTGCATTGTCAGGTCTAGAACTGGGGGGGAAAGCCAGTGCTATTTTTCGGGGGGGGGGGGGACACATACCCCTAAACACTGGAAAAAGCCATGGACAAGACTACATTTCAAATCACCCGCTTGCTGCTATTCCCTGCTATTTTCCTTACAGCTTCCCCCTGTCCCCCACAAGTGCCATCCGTGTTTGAGGTCCAGGGGAAAAAGATGGGGTGGCACTCCTAATTTTGTGTGCAATGAGAGGGAATTGGTTTTTTTTTTTTTTTTGTTTTTTTAAAGAACATGGCCTTTCACCGCTACAAATTCAGCTACTGATGCTTCATGGAACTGACCACAACACAGGTTTTTGTTTCAAAGGAAAAGTACTCACACTCTTTGGGCCTGGAGTAGTATTTCCCAAAGGCATTGTCTTTGGGAATATCTGGGTAAAGAAATTTCAGGGGGTTTTCCGGAATATTCTCAGCCGCCATCACCTTGTAGCTGCGAATAATATCGGGCAGGCTAACTGCGGAGAGTTCCTTCTTTGTGTAGGGTTCCACTGAGTGACATAAATTATCTGGTACATAGCCAGGGGAGTGGGGGTGGAGAGAGAGAAGAATTAAAAGCAAGATCAGAAACTCAGCTTTCAACACACTTGGCCTGCTAAGAAGCTAACAGAACTCAGAAAGCTGCTATCTACTGTTTATCCTTCACATTAGGGTTGCCATTCACCACCACCACTCAAGTCCCGCCCTGTAACAGAAGAGACATTTAACAGGTGAGGAGCTTTCCCTCAGAGTTAAAAGGAGGAAGGCTCTTAAGAAGTTGCCAACTTCTCCTTCCATTTTTTTTAAAAAAGTATTTTTTATTAGTTTTCAATTACAATAATCCAATGAAAGCCTCATTATGCCAATACAAAATTATAATTAATAATGCCAATCTTTCAAATGTCAAATTATATAATTTATGTGCCCATCCCGTCCCCCCCCCCCTGCGTGCTAGAATGAATGGTTTGACGATTTATGTAATTTCTGCGTTCCATAATCTTATAAACTCCAATTACACAGCAGTCAGAAAAACAAACCAGCTTCTCCTTCCATGTTTTTCTCCATTCTCTCGTTTCTCTCAAAATCCCTGCCTGGGCTCCCTTTCCCACAATTATGCCAAGAGGAAAACAGGAAGCAAGAGACTTGTTTCAAAGGAAGGCACATTCCAATTTTATATTTTTGAGAAATTGGGGTGCAAGAGAAAATTTCCATAACTTAGCGATAAGCATTACTATTGTGTAGGAGGCCCAATTCAAAAAACAACTGTGCTTGGAGAGCTAGGCTCCAACAAACATGGGAGGATTTGCTGCCACAAAAAAATAACAACACAAACAAATATACAGGCTGTATATACCGTATTTTTCGCCCTATAGGACGCACCGGCCCATAGGACACACCTAGATTTGGGGGGGGAATAAAGGGGGGAAAAATATTTCCCCCCACACCCAGGCACGTGGCTGGGGCGGGGGAAGCCCGAGCTGGCTCCTGTTCTGGGTGCTGGGGTCGGGGGAAGTCTGAGCGCACCTTCGGCACCGCTCTGGGAGCTTGCGCGGCTGGGGGCGGGGGAAGCCCGAGCTTCCGCCGACCCCAGAACAGGAGCTGAGCGCAGCTTCGGCATCACTCCGGGGGGTTGTGCGGAGCTGCGCTGATCCCGGGAGTGCAGGCAACTCTGCGCAACCTTCGGGAGCCGGGCGCGGCTTCGCGCCAGGCTCCGGGGGGTTGCGCGGAGCCTGGGAGCGCAGGCAGCTCTGCGCAACCAGCTTCGCGCCGGGCTCCCTAGGGCTGCGCAGAGCCTTCTGAAGCCTGGAGAGGGAGAGGGATCGGTGCGCACCGACCCCTATCGCTCACCAGGCTTCAGCAAAAGCCTGTATTCGCCCCATAGGACGCACACACATTTCCCCTTTATTTTTGGAGGGGAAAAAGTGTGTCCTATAGGGCGAAAAATACTGTAACTATATAAGTTCTTTTTAAATGTGATTCAACATTTCATATCAAAACATATGGTTCTATAGACCAACATATCATATAAACAAAACATATTATGATAAATTAAAGTCCAGCAGATTAATCAGGAAATACAATCTATTCAGTTCTTATACTGGTAATATCCACAGTGTGGAATTCTTATATCAATCTTGGTAGTGTTCCACGTGAAGATGCTTTTAAGAATTCTAGCATTCCTTGTATGCAGGTATTAGATGAAAAACTTGGAAGAATGGCACATGCACAACATTTTAAAAAATGGAACGCTTCATGAATTTGCGTGTCATCCTTGTGCGGGGACCATGCTAATCTACTCTGTATCATTCGAATTATAGTACAGTGGTACCTTGGGTTAAGTACTTAATTTGTTCTGGAGGTGCGTTCTTAACCTGAAACTGTTCTTAACCTGAAGCACCACTTTAGCTAATGGGGCCTCCTGCTGCCACCGCGCCGCCGGAGCCCGATTTCTGTTCTTATCCTGAAGCAAAGTTCTTAATCTGAAGCACTATTTCTGGGTTAGCGGAGTGTGTAACCTGAAGCGTATGTAACCTGAAGCGTATGTAACCAGAGCTACCACTGTATATGTGCTGCCACAGAAAAATATGCAATGGATGGGTGTTTTTTTTTAAAAAAAATAATAATTAATGTATTAAAAAAAAATTAAGCCCTTGAACACAAAATGAGCATTCTTTTTGAGTGTTTGCCTACCATTTTGTGGTCCTTCTGCCCAGGTAAAAGTGATGGCTCCTTCTCGACTACTTTCACTGAACCTCAGGAGGAAGGTACCGGTAGGCTTATTCTTGAGCAAGCAACGTTCCCGTTCTTTGCTTATGAAGCCTATGATGCTTCTGAAATGTCAAAAAGAGAAGAGCACAGATGCACAAAAACATTGTGTGACAGGACTTAGGCCTTGTAGTAAGTCAAGAGGACACCAACCTGGGGCCCTGAAGGTATTGTCTAGAGATTCCCAACTCTTCTCACACACCAACGAACAGGGCTGATGGACGTCAAAGTCCAGCAACATCCAGAGCGCACCGATTTATGGTAAAGTCCTATCCGCCCACAACTGTTGAAACGGCTTATGGATGAATATTTCCAGTACGTTTCCCAGCACAATTCAAAGAGTTGGTGCTGACCTTTGAAGCTCTAAACGGCCTCGGCCCAGTATACCTGAAGGAGCGTCTCCACCCCCATCATGGCAGCAGTATAGATTTAGGAGAATCATTGGAGTGAAAGTTGGGTTTTACTACTAAGTAAGAAAATACCCACCTTCACTGACCACAAAATCAAAAGTTGCATTATAAATTAGGGATGCGACTTGCTAATTGTTCCTCATTTCCTTCACCTTAATTTGGAGGGGAGGGGTCAAGACAGAACCTTTTCACAGTTTAAAGAAAAGGTAAAGGGACCACTGACCATTAGGTCCAGTCGTGGCCGACTCTGGGGTTGCGGCGCTCATCTCGCTTTATTGGCTGAGGGAGCCGGTGTACAGCTTCCGGGTCATGTGGCCAGCATGACTAAGCCGCTTCTGGCGAACCAGAGCAGCGCATGGAAACGCCGTTTACCTTCCCGCCGGAGCAGTACCTATTTATCTACCGTATTTTTCGCACCATAGGACGCACTTTTTCCCTCCTAAAAAGCAAGGGAAAATGTGTGTGCGTCCTATGGAGCGAATGCAGGCTTTCGCTGAAGCCTGGAGAGTGAGAGGGGTCGGTGCGCACCGACCCCTCTCGCTCTCCAGGCTTCAGGAAGCTATCCGCTAGCCGTGGGAGACCCAGCTCTCCCACCACTAGCGGAGCGCAGCATTAATCCCAAAGCTTGGGGCGTGCGGAGCGCAGCGCGCCCCAAGCTTCTGGGTGCAAGCAGGGTCTCCGCTAGCCCTGGGAGAGCCCCGCGACGTCGCGCGGCTCTCCCAGGGCTAGCGAAGCACTGCGCTAATCCCGAAGCTTGGGGCGTGCAGAGCTCAGCGCGCCCCAAGCTTCTGGGTGCCGGCAAGGTCTCCGCTAGCCCTGGGAGAGCCCCGCGACGTCGCGCGGCTCTCCCAGGGCTAGCGAAGCGCTGCGCTAATCCCGAAGCTTGGGGCGTGCAGAGCTCAGCGCGCCTCAAGCTTCTGGGTGCTGGCAAGGTCTCCGCTAGCCCTGGGAGAGCCCCGCGACGTCGCGCGGCTCTCCCAGGGCTAGCGGACCACGGCGCTAATCCCGAAGCTTGGGGCGTGCAGAGCTCAGCGCGCCTCAAGCTTCTGGGTGCCGGCAAGGTCTCCGCTAGCCCTGGGAGAGCCCCGCGATGTCGCGCGGCTCTCCCAGGGCTAGCGGACCACTGCGCTAATCCCGAAGTTTGGGGCGTGCAGAGCTCAGCGCGCCCCAAGCTTCTGGGTGCCGGCAAGGTCTCGCTAGCCCTGGGAGAGCCCCGCGACGTCGCACGGCTCTCCCAGGGCTAGCGAAGCGCTGCGCTAATCCCGAAGCTTGGGGCGTGCAGAGCTCAGCGCGCCTCAAGCTTCTGGGTGCTGGCAAGGTCTCCGCTAGCCCTGGGAGAGCCCCGCGACGTCGCGCGGCTCTCCCAGGGCTAGCGGACCACTGCGCTAATCCCGAAGTTTGGGGCGTGCAGAGCTCAGCGCGCCCCAAGCTTCTGGGTGCCGGCAAGGTCTCGCTAGCCCTGGGAGAGCCCCGCGACGTCGCACGGCTCTCCCAGGGCTAGCGAAGCGCTGCGCTAATCCCGAATCTTGGGGCGTGCAGAGCTCAGCGCGCCCCAAGCTTCTGGGTGCCGGCAAGGTCTCCGCTAGCCCTGGGAGAGCCCCGCGACGTCGCGCGGCTCTCCCAGGGCTAGCGGACCACTGCGCTAATCCCGAAGCTTGGGGCGTGCGAGCTCAGCGCGCCCCAAGCTTCTGGGTGCCGGCAAGGTCTCCGCTAGCCCTGGGAGAGCCCCGCGACGTCGCGCGGCTCTCCCACGGCTAGCGGACCACTGCGCTAATCCCGAAGCTTGGGGCGTGCGAGCTCAGCGCGCCTCAAGCTTCTGGGTGCTGGCAAAGTCTCCGCTAGCCCTGGGAGAGCCCCGCGACGTCGCGCGGCTCTCCCAGGGCTAGCGGACCACTGCGCTAATCCCGAACCTTGGGGCGTGCGAGCTCAGCGCGCCCCAAGCTTCTGGGCACCGGCAAGGTCTCCGCTAGGCTAGCGGAGACCTTGCCGGCGCCCAGAAGCTTGGGGCGCGCTGAGCTCCGCACGCCCCAAGGTTCGGGATTAGCGCTCTGCTAGCCATAGCAGCCTGCTTCCCGGAGCGTCGGGCGCCCTGAAAGCAGAGCTCCAGGCGCTTCGGGAACACATCCGCAGCGTGGGGAGGCTTGCAGGAGTTCCCCACAGGGCTCCCCACGCTGCGGATAGCAGCCTGCTGCCTGGCGGGTGGGGCGCCCTGAAGCAGAGCGCCCCTCGCGCCAGGCAGACATCCGCAGAGTGGGGAGCCTTGCAGGAGTTCCCCACAGGGCTCCCCACGCTGCGGATAGCAGCCTGCTGCCTGGCGGGTGGGGCGCCCTGAAGCAGAGCGCCCCGCGCGCCAGGCAGACATCAGCCAGCCCCACAAGCTCGGGGGACAGCAGGGAGGCGCAGCGCCACTATTCCGCTGTTCCTCGACCTGGTTCGGTTTCCCTGACCTGCTTTTGGGGGGGAAATAAAGGGAAAATTTTTTTCCTTTATTTCCCCCCCAAAAAACTAGGTGCGTCCTATGGTCCGGTGCGTCCAATCGTGCGAAAAATACGGTACTTGCACTTTGACATGCTTTCGAACTGCTAGGTTGGCAGGAGCAGGGACCGAGGAACAGGAGCTCACCCCGTCGCGGGGATTCGAACCGCCGACCTTCTGATCAGCAAGTCCTAGGCTCTGTGGTTTAACCCACAGTGCCACCCGCGTCCCTTTCACAGTTTAGAAGCTCCCAAATATTCTGCAAATATTTGCAGGTCGCAGCTATCCGTCTCTTTACATTACTTGCTTTTTCATAACGAAGGCAATCCATAAAAACGCTTTTATGTTCTCAATAAACCTGTTTGCTATGCTGTGGATAACAAGCTACAATATCTCTCTAGAGGTCTATTTATCCCCCAGCTTCTTCCCCACATATACTTTATACTGCTCCATTTAAAAAAAGGTAATTTCAGGGCTATTAAAGTTCTGTTTTGAGAAACGGGCACACGTTCAGCACTGCCTATCGTTTTGACGGTCTGAGCAATTACTGTTTACACAATTAATTAGGCTGCTGTTGTTTGGAGCTTACCAGCAGATATATAATAAGCCATTTAAACTGCGTTTTAATGGGTCTTTGAGCTGCCGTTCTGACAACAGTCCCTAAACCAGGAGCAGGGAAACTGTGGCCTTCCAGATATTGCTGAACTGCAACTCCCAAAAATCTCTGACTGTCATTCTGGCGGGGGCAGGGAGGAGCTGAATTCCAACAACATCTGCATAGCGACAGATCCCCATCCTTGCTGTAAACCTTCTTACCTTAAAACTGAAATCTCCTTCATTTTGTTTCTCTCTCCTCGTGCCCCCAAGACTATTCCATATGCAAAATGGTCTCTCTCTTTTTGGTGGGGGCAAAGCTAAGCATTGTTTGAACACCACTGATTTCAAGGGGGAAGACGAGGGTTCTGGGAATAAAATCCCATGAATTCAATTACATTTATATTGGAGTAGATGCACAAAGACTGCATTGTAAGATGCCCAATTCCAACTGGAACACCTTTAATGTTATTTAACTGATGTTTTAATGTATTTTTAATCTTTTGTTGGAAGCCGCCCAGAGTGGCTGGGGAAACCCAGCCAGGTGGGCGGGGGGTATAAATAATAAATTTATCATTATTATTATAATTATAATTATTAATTCCAGACGTGGTTTTATTTAGGATTCCAAGGCCATCCACTGCCCTCTAGAAGCCTCTGAAATTCTTACCCATCATTCCAGAGGGCGAGAAGATGTTTCTTAATGAGTTCAAGGATGCCTTCAATCCACAACCAGAAGGGAACGTTTTTGTCATTTATGTTTTCCTGAAATTGAAGGAAACAAAAGAACAGCGCGTTAGAAGTTGCTACTTCAGCTAACCACAACTGAGCTCGTACGTTAAGAGTATCCGTTATATCAGTAGTGCTCTTTTCATTAATTTTTTCCCTCACAGCTGTTCTTGGGTCTTCCGATTTTGTGTTCCATACATTCATGTTCCCACATGCATTCCAACTGTCACACAAGTCTCAAGGCCACCTCTACGCTATTGTGCGTAAGGGTGTTCACAAATTGCATTCAATGAGTGTGAAACTTGTGCGCCCAATAGTTGAGCTACTGCTCCATAAAGAGTTTCTCCACCCGCATCATTCAGCCCAGACACTGAGGTCCAGCTCTGAGGGCCTTCTAGCAGTTCCCTCACTGCGAGATGTGAGGTTACAGGGAAGCAGGCAGAGGGCCTTCTCAGTAGTGGCACCCACCCTGTGGAACGCCCTCCCATCAGATGTCAAGGAAATAAACAACTATCTGACTTTTAGAAGACATCTGAAGGCAACCCTTGTATCGGGAAGTTTTTAACGCTTGACATTCAATTATGTTTCTATATTCTGCTGGAAGCCGCCCAGAGTGGCTGGGGAAACCTAGCCAGACGGGTGGGATATAAATAATAAAAATAAAAATAATTACCATATTTTATTTTTTTAAAAACCAGCCAACACAAACACTTGTACATGCACAAACACAGTCTGCGACTTGTACTCAGTGTAACCTATGAACAAGCCTGGTGAAAGCTAGTAAAAGGTGTTTGGAGCAAGATGATTCATAGAAGGCAACTGGGCACCAAAAGAGATGGCACTTTTCACATGTGCCTTTCTCTTGAAAATGACCGAAACCACACAGTCCAAACATGCAGTGTACGCTGTGCACTTCCCTGTATCAGGAGGGTGTGTGTGAGTGGGTGTGTGTGTGTGTGTATGTGTGTGTGTGTGTGTGTGTGTGTGTGTGTGTGTGTGTGAGAGAGAGAGAGAGAGAGAGAGAGACTCCTACTGCACACATTGCTGTTCAGCAATGTTGCCTATGGTTGTGCACTCAAGACAGTCTGTTTTTCCGAAAATACAAGACTCCTCTCTTGGGTGCTCCCCCCTCGGCCTAATCTCCCCCCACCCTGGTGCTCACTGCATCAGTAAAACGACAACCACAACAAAATGATGCTCAGTACGCTGACGTGTTTTCTGTTCTATTTAGTACCCTCTGCTGGCAACTGGAGAGAATGCAAGATTATAAGACCTGAGGTGAGTTTGTTTTAGCAAACAACAGCTCCTCCCCACCCCCCACCCCAAGTTTTAAAAAATGACAGTTCAGGCTCTGTTTTCCACCATGGCCTCCACACACATTTTTTTCAGGTTTCTGCATTGGCTCAAAAAAATCACACAACCAAAAAACTTTTTTGAGATGACGAACAAAGGCCTTTATCACGGCTGCGGCTCCAATCTGGTGGAACGCTCTGCCACAAGAGACTAGGGCCCTGCGGGACTTGACATCTTTCCGCAGCAGGGCCTGCAAGACAGAGCTGTTCCACCAGGCCTTTGGCCAGGGTGCAGCCTGACTCCCTCCTTTGGCAATCTTCACAGAACTCTGGCCCAATGGTTGCCATCAATTTGATTTGAATTAATTTTTATAATGAAATGTTTTTAGAACATTGCACTATTTTATTGTTGTTAGCCGCCCTGAGCCTGGCTTCGGCTGGGGAGGGCGGGATATAAATAAAATGTATTATTATTATTATTATTATTATTATTATTATTATTATTATTATTATTACGCCACCTTAAACTCCCTTATAATGCTATGGTTTGTCTCCGACTTAGGCAACCAACTGGTTATCAATGGATCCAGCAGTGGTTGGACTCTGGCCCCTTTAGATAAAGAAAAAAGGAAATATCCTACCTTACAGAACCTCACCCAAGTAATAGTTCCGTCTGCAGTGCATCCGTTCGCTAAAGGGAAACAAGTTACTCTTCAGATAGTAATTATGTTAGGCTAATATATCTGTATCACATGTAACATTGGAGATAGAATCTTACCCTCCAAGAACACAAAGGACTGAAATTAAATCCCAAGGGCAAAGGGAGAGGAAGGACTCCCAGGAAAGGAAAGAAAAACCCTGTTGATTGGAAAATGCCATATTCTCATCTACACTGCCGTGCTAAGGGCTTAGGAATTTCCCAGTAACTGAGAAATCAGGATGCTACCCTCCCCAATTATATTCTGATCAAGTCAGCAGATTTTGCTTCCTTCTCGCTTTTGACAAATGTGATGTTTGTGAAATAATGATAATAATAATAATAAACCCAGAAATACTTCCATTTTCAAACAGATTCTAAGAGTGAATAGCTCACAATTTCTTTAGGGCAGGAGCTACACAACTGGGCAAGCTTCAGCCAGGTGGTCCACAGTAGGGGCTGTGTGATAAATCGCCATATCGTTGAGTACCAGTATCGAAATAACATTGTGGTGAGTGTTTCAAAAAGACAATATATGGGTGAGCGAAAAGGTGGGGACTTGACAGCTTCCCAGGGGGTAGCTGAGCTGAACCGATACTTTACAGTTAATTTGCAGATAATTTGCAGTACGTTCCCAAGCACAATTCAAAGTGTTGGTGCTGACCTTTAAAGCCCTAAACGGCCTCGGTCCAGTATATCTGAAGGAGCATCTCCACCCCCATCATTTAGGCCGGACACTAAGGTCCAGCACCGAGGGCCTTCTGGCGGTTCCCTCGCTGCGAGAAGCCAAGTTACAGGGAACCAGGCAGAGGGCCTTCTCGGTAGTGGCACCCACCCTGCGGAACACCCTCCCACCAGATGTCAAAGAGAAAAACAACTACAGTGGTACCTCGGGTTATATACGCTTTGGGTTACATGCGCTTCAGGTTAATCCGCTAATCCAGAAATAGTGCTTCAGGTTAAGAACTTTGCTTTAGGATGAGAACAGAAATCGTGCTCCAGCGGCGCAGCGGCAGGGGGAGGCCCCATTAGCTAAAGTGGTGCTTCAGGTTAAGAACAGTTTCAGGTTAAGTACGGACCTCCAGAACGAATTAAGTACTTAACCTGAGGTACCACTGTAACAGACTTTTAGAAGACATCTGAAGGCAGCCCTGTTTAGGGAAGCTTTTAATGTTTAACAGACCACTGTATTTTAATACTCTGTTGGAAGCCGCCCAGAGTGGCTGGGGAAACCCAGTCAGATGGGCGGGGTATAAATAATAAATTCTATTCTATTCTATTATCTTGTCTCCTGCTTTGTTTTCTCTCTCCCTCCTCCCTCCTAACTGATAAGAAATAAAACTGTTATGCCTTGTGCGCCAGAAAAGATGGATATAAAATATCCAGCGAAAGAAATGGCATAACCTCTAATTAAACCTGGTGGGAAGGTGCATGCATTTTTATTTTTTTTAAAAGGAGGTTGACAGTGCAAGCAACAATTTCGAACGTCACTTACGAAGTAACTTTTCTCCTATCATGCTCAGTTGCTCTGCGTTGAGTCCCCTCTTTGTGACAGAAGAAAACTGCCAACTCAGCACTTCGGAAAGCTGCGACCATCTTGCACACGGCGCGTTCAGAAAGAAGGACAAATTCTAGAGAGGAAAAGGATAGCATTTAGAATCTGAGCCACTGCTTACTGACTTTCGTTTAATTTACAGGAATATCATCCCACCTTTCTTCCAAAGGAGCCCAAGTGTCATAGAAATTTCTCCCATTTTATTCTCATAACCTTGCTTGGTCGGAGAAACTTGAGACATGATGACTGGTCAGCCATTGGTAGAGTGGAGATTTGAACCAGTCTCCTTGGTCCTAGGACTCAGCTACATTTCGTCACATTACAGTGGTACCTCAGGTTACATACGCTTCAGGTTACAGACTCTGCTAACCCAGAAATAGTGCTTCAGATTAAGAACTTTGCTTCAGGTTGAGAACAGAAATTGTGCTCCGGCGGTGCAGCAGCAGCGGGAGGCCCCATTAGCTAAAGTGGTGCTTTAGGTTAAGAACAGTTTCAGGTTAAGTACAGACCTCCAGAACGAATTAAGTACTTAACCCAAGGTACCACTGTAATACGTTTTGATTGTGTTATAAATATCCAAAACCAGATGGTGCCAGAGAGCAAAATAGTTTATATGGATTTTTACATAGGCATTTTTTTCCTTTCATTGCAATGATTTAATTTCTGACTTATTTATAGCGTTTTTAACCTGTGTCTAGACCCACCCCTTATTTTGAAATACTAAGTACAGTGGAACCTCGGGTTGCGAACATGATCCGTGCGGGAGGCACGTTCACAACCCGCAGCACCGCGTCTGCGCACGCGTGATGTGATTCTGCGCATGCGCCGAAACCCGGAAGTAACCTGTTCCGGTACTTCCGGGTTTCGGCGCATCCGTAACCTGAAAACGCGTAACCCGAAGCGTCTGTAACCCGAGGTACCACTGTACTGCACCATATTGGCTCTCACAAGGCTAGGCCTAAACACCCATGTGGGGAGTTTTTACATCCCTATCAGGGAGCTTCAACCTCCTCATAAAAAACCTTTTTTTTTTATCTTCCCACTCAACAAGACATATACTCCTGAAACGTGGAATCATTTTGAGGAGGGGGGTGCCTTCTGATGCAACACAAAGCATTACTATTTCAAAAGGAAACAGGAGGCAGACCAGGGCGCATCCTTTAAAATGGTCTTTGGATTTCCAGACAACCTACATGGAAACTCTAACAATAATTGTTTATTTTAGCTGGAGTGAGGGGGAGGGCCAATAAAATTTCCTGCAATTTTGTAGTTACGACTTGTTGCTTGTTTTCAAAAATGTTATTTTTTAAAAATGGCTGTGGATTTAACTATAATCCTTAAGCTTTCTCTGTGACCGTTGCGTGCAGTTTCTCCTGTCTACATTTTGTCCACATTCTTCCATTTCCTTTTGTTGACAACTCTACAATCCATTTGCATGTTCTCATGCCCATGTTTAACTTTATACAGGAAGCAGCTGGTGTGTGTGTGTTTTTAAAGTGAAATATGATCAACATCAGCAAAGCAAGTGATTTCTTCTTACACAGAGAATGCACTGCCCTTGTACAATTTGAGTCAAGAGAAAAATGCTGCTTTTTCTCCCCAAAATGCCAAGTATAAAAGAGTTCCAACAATGCTACTGTTTATGCAACGGTCATAAAAGCAATTCCAAAAAAATCAAGTGTCCAATCGGGCAGTGGCGTAGCGTGGGTTGTCAGCACCCGGGGCAAGGCAAGTAATTTGCGCCCCCTAACCCGTGGATTTGCGCCCCCTAACCTGTGGATTTGCCCTAACCCCAGATGTTGCGCCCGGTGCGGCCGGCCCCCCCTGCACCCCCCACGCTACGCCACTGCAATCGGGTCTTCAGTGGACGTAACTGAAGAAAACCTCATCACTGAATGGAGCCTTCCAATTACGTTTTTGAAAAGTACTGTTTTACATGAGCTATTTAATATTGCAAAACTACAAGCTGAAAAGCCAGCTGCTTTTAGATCCTCTTTCTCCTTAAACAGTTTTCATTCCAAATGGTTGTTCTAAGAAATGATCTCCAACATGGGCCATACTCAGGGTAAACTCACTGAAATAACTTATGTCCATGTTCAATGGGTCTTATGTTGAACTTATGGTCAATGGGTCTGTGCACAGATATGACCAATGCTGGATTATCAGCCTTCATAAACAGAGCCTTCAAAACCAGAGCTTGCTTCCTCCTCTGTCACAATCATTTTCCTTTTGTGCCATGTACTATTATTGACTTTGCTAAGTTACAATGCTCTTCAGCTGTGAGAGGGTGATTGCTTTCTTTCAGAAGTTTTTAATTATTATTTTTTTTAAAAAAAAACGGAGACTCTCTTTACTTGATGTAATTGCTACTCTAGGTTCTTCGAGGAGCAGGATATAAATTTAATAAATACAGTCGTACCTTCCAAAACGGATTCTGTTCGACTTCCAAAGCGTTCGAAAACCAAAGCGCGGATTCTGATTGGCTGCGGGAGCTTCTTGCAGCCAATCGGAAGCCACGTCGGACGTTTGGCTTCCAAAAACAGTTAGCAAACCGGAACACTCACTTCCGGGTTTGCGGTGTTTGGGAGCCGAAATGTTTGAGAACTAAGCTGTTTGAAAACAAAGATACAACTGTAAATCGATGAACAAAATAACGGGGCTTGCTTTAATAAAGAGTATTCTTTCAACTGTTTCAATATCCACTCACCCACCCAAATCCTGCACTTAAAAAAGGATGCCAGGATACTCACCCTGGGCTCATTTGTCAGCATGTTGTACCACAAGATGGAAGCCCACCCGCTCGGCAGCTGGCTGACATTGGAGATCACAACAATGGGAAGGGAGGTGGTCTGGCAAGCGAAGGTGACAGGGAAAAATTGAGCAAACGCTTCCAAGATGGTCAAAGGCACAGAAATTAAGAGACAAAGTACTAAATTCTTTTAGGCAGCAGTATCACATCATTACAATCAGCAAAACATGGCTGGATATTTTGACACAAAAAGATATGACAGGCAATCCTCGTTTTGTGCGGGGGGTTGCATTCCAGACCTCCAAGCGCATCGGTGGACCATGCGCATGTCGCCTTTCATGACATCTGTGACATTTTGGGGCTGCTTCCTGGTTTGGCGCCATGCGCACCTGCTCAGACTCAACTAAATCGGTCGTTGCCTGTATAGCCAAGGTTGGAAGATTCACTTTTCTACGCTCAAAGATCTTTGGTGAATTTAAAAACAAACCAAACTGCAGAGCGAGCCAAACTTCATATAATTGCTTTTAGCACAAAAGCAAACTGCTCCCAGTTTGGCAAACGAGACATGGCTGGGCCAATCTAACAAACGAAGGAAGTGCAAGACTGTGTTCACAGTTTGGCTCGTGGGTAGATTGGGACAAGACTTTTCCCAAAATTCACTCCACTCTTGCTACATTCGTAGCCTTATGTCCTGAGTAGTTAACACACTTACCTCTAGATCAATTATGAGGCCCCACTGTTCCAGCGTTGTCTCAAAAGAGAGAGAATGGAGTTCTTCTGTTACAATGAGAGGCCCCTTTATATAGGAAAAAAGGCAGATTTAAAAAATAACAATTACAGGAATCTGTCGCACTACACAACTCCCCTGATCCCGTTCGCTGGGGAAGAAGGGAACTGGTTAGATTCTCCAAACCCTTCAGAACATAGGACTGAATATGAACTGGACTCTTTGGCAGGTCTTGAATAAACATTCACAAACTGTTTATTGTAATATATAGAAAGACAACTTGAGGATTTTTACAATTTTATAACATGCAGATAGAAATATGTGTTGAGAAATCAGAGAAAGGAGTTGAGGGAAGTCCGTGGGTGGGGTGGGAGGTTGGTTTTGTTTGTTTGGGGGGGGGCAAAAAAAATGGAGGGAAAAATAATATATTTTTGATAAAACTATTGTGTTGAAATTTCAAATTTATTTTTTTTAAAAAGGACTGAACATGGCTGTGCAATCCTCATTGGACAGTATCTCCCCCCCCCCAATATAGGTGGGACAACCACTTGTCAATCACCTGACATCATTATTGCATCAGGTACCTAACAGGAAGGTGACCCCACCCCCAGTCAAAAGCTGGCCCAGTGGGATGGGGAAAATAAAATATCTGGTATGCTGAGCTAAAAATCCTGCTCTTCTATATGAAAGGTTAACAAGGGAGACCTTGGTACTTTTTTCAGTTATATAATTATATTATCACTCTAACTAATATCAGGTTTAACATTTACAGGCTAAGGTTAAAGCAAGAGTAACCTCAAATCTATAGGGGATCATGGTGTGTGGTAAAATAGGTAAAAAAGGGAAGGGACCCCAGGACCATTAAGTCTAGTCCAAGGCGACTATGGGGTGTGGCGCTCATCTCACTTTTCAGGCTGAGGGAGCCAGTGTTTGTCTGCAGACAGCTTTATGGGTCATGTGGCCAGTATGACTAAACTGCTTCTGGAGCAACGGGACACTGTGACGGAAACCAGAGTGCACGGAAATGCCGTTTACCTTCCCGCCGGAGCGGTACCTATTTATCTACTTGCACTGGTCCGCTTTTGAACTGCTAGGTTGGCAGGAGCTGGGACCGAGCAACGGGAGCTCACCCCGTTGCAGGGATTTGAACCGCTGACCTTCTGATCCGCAAGCCCAAGAGGCTCAGTGGTTTGGACCACAGCGCCACCCACATCCCTTTGTGTAGTCTATTACCACTGCTTATTAAAAACCCGCTGTTAAATTAAAAGAAAACCGAGTAAGCAAAATAAACGGCATAGGTGTTGATTCCTCTTACCTCATTGGTTCTTCCCGGATTCTTTTGCTCCTTTAATTGCTGTAGAATGAAGGGATGTCTCAAAGTGAGTGACATTTATGTTCGTTTTTCAGTATATTAACCAATCAAAGACACAGTTCAAAGACCAACGTGTCAGGTGCCAAACCATGGTGCACATTTTGACTAGCCAGGGGTGAGCAACACCCTAACACAAACTTCACCAACCTAGTGCCCTCTAGTTGTTTTGTATTCCAACTCCCGCCAGTGCGGCCAATGGTCAGGGATGATGGGACTTGTCGTTCAATAAACATCTGGAAGGGCACCAGTTTGACTACCCCTTTACTAGATTCTCCCAAAGGAAGCTCTGGATGAAACTAGTCAACATCAGACTCACAGGTGGCAATATTGTGCAATTATATTTCACGCGAATCATGAAGGATTTTGTTTTAAATCTCTTCCCCTCTCATTGAAAGATAAATTTGTGATATTGTGTCTCTCCACGCCCCCAATATTTTCATTTCACTTTTAATTTGTATATTGCCTTTCTATACAAGGCCGTTTACAAGCTGAAGAAACAACAAAATAGACGCCGAATAACAATCTGATCCTATACAAAAAAAGCCGTAATAAAAACATAACTTTAACCACTTATATCAAATAAAGCAATATTCAACAATCCAGTAAAAATCACAATGCGGGGGGAAACCGTGAAGCCAGCCAATGCTTCCACATAGCTCCACCCTTATTTCAGACATTGTGATATATTGATATAACGCGATGTTTAGCTGGTGACATAGCACGACTTTGAAAACCAGATATTGCCCAGCCCTAGTTACGGGTCTGTAAAGAAACCTTAGTTTGTGCTATACAGTGGAACCTCAGGTAACGTAAACTTCTGGTTACGTTACCGGCAAACCCGGAAGTGTTTTGCTGCGCATGAATGCGCAGAAGCGAAAAAACCCGCCTCTGCGCATGCAGAGAAGTGGCACCTCTAGTAGCAAAAACTTCAGGATACAGCTGGACCTCTGGAACAGATCCTGTTCAGAACCGGAGGTACCACTGTGTAAGAAATGTACCAACATTAATATGGTGTATAACTGAATTAACGCACATGTAAAAAACCCCACATTTTTTAAAAAAACAAAGCAGGTAAGTATTTCAAAATTACCATATTTTTCCGTGTATGAGATGCCCCCATGTATTTTTGGGGACTCCAATTTAAGAAAACACCCCTCAGCACTACCTGTGTAGAAGACGACTCCCAATTTTAAACTTACTTTTTTGGTAAAAAACAAACAGCTAGTCTTATAAACGGAAAAGCTCTGGCACAGAAGAATAGAACAAGAAGACTTCTTACAAAAGCAATCCTGCCAAAAAGGAATAGGGGTGTTTGTGTGTTGTATGTCATTGTACATGCATACACACAAATAAGTGTGTGTGTGTGTGTGTGTGTGTGTGTTTTAAATAAAAGCAGAAGTGAATACAAAACAGTGACAGACTTGCTAGTTGTGGCCTGTATGGAATATAAAGGGTAAAGGGACCCCTGACCATTAGGTCCAGTCATGGCCGACTCTGGGGTTGCGGCGCTCATCTCGCTTTATTGGCCAAGGGAGCCAGCGTACAGCCAATCATGTGGCCAGAGTGTCTAAGCCCCTTCTGGTGAACCAGAGTAGCGCACGGAAACGCTGTTTACCTTCCCGCCGGAGCGGTACCTATTTATCTACTTGCACTTTGACGTGCTTCCGAACTGCTAGGTTGGCAGGAGCAGGGACCGAGCAACGGGAGCTCACCCCATCACGGGGATTCGAACCGCTGACCTTCTGATCGGCAAGTCCTAGGCTTTGTGGTTTAACCCACAGTGCCACCTGCGTCCCTGTATGGAATATATATCCCTTCAATACACAAACATCAGTAGCACAGAACGTTTTGGGGGACAACGAAGACAGAACATTATTAAAATTATTTTGAGAATCTGAATGCCAAAAAGATATGCCTCACCAGATGTCTAAATTCTGCTGACAGGCTTCCATTCGACTCTTCCATGTTCATCACTTTGGAATTCGTCCCCAAGATGTTAAATTTTCTAAATCTTCAGTGATAACAGATTTAAGAAGTTTTTTTGAGACTAATCAATTCACTGTGTGACAAGAACAACAAGCAGTAGCGTACACAAGAAGTCAACGTACCCTTTAACAGCAACTTTCTCGTTGACGTCTCTGCAAAGGAATAAAAATAGTGAGGGGAGATCCATTATATAGAGCTGAGTATGTGGCAAATTATATAGAGTATGTGGCAAATTTATCCATTGTACTGTAGTTTTTTAGTGGGTGTTTTAAGCAGGGGTAAAGTTCTCCAGTGTGCAAATGTTATATACTGCAGGACCTGCTATTTCAAAGATGAGCAAGAGCTGTCAGCAGAAAACCATAGAAAACCATACCAGAATTTTTACTTTTGAGTCCTAAACAGAAATAGGCAAAGTGTGAAAGGATAACAGGGATCTATTATCACAGGTGGAATCAGGTTATGCTTTAAATGGGTTGTGTGGATGCAATCTCAACCCTACAGCCACTAGTAGATTGTCTATTTTCAGTCACCCTTCATGATGTTACTTAGAAAGTGGAAAGCTTTCAGAGATTGCTGGTTGGAATAAAGGCGGCTACAGTTAAATGGGTAGAGAAAGAGGGCAAAGGTAAGTAACAACTGATGCTTCAGTTTTGAGTGAAATTTTGATGTGGATGTCAATAACATATGCAAGGCGTCACTTACTTATCAAATACAACTTGCACCTTCAATTTGTAATTCAGTTCCTGCAGTTTCACCAGTAATCTGGAAGCACAAGACATATATCACTAGCGTGTTAATGAAGAAATTACTCCCACCTTTAACTTCATGACGAGCCTTGCATTTCCTTCAAGTTCTCAAGACAACAAAGAAAGCTTCCTTTCCAAACATAGCAGCAGGGGAGCTGATTCATATACTGAAAATCAACATGTGCCCACAACATTTTAGAGAAGCAGCCCCCATCTGGTTTTGTCATGCACACACTTGCCAGAAGCCAGTTAATAGCTGGAATAGCCACACGTCGTTCGGCTCAGTCAACCACTACCTGACATGAAGTGCTCTGTAGAACTGGCTTTTCATCGGATAAACTACTAGAGCATGGGTAGGCAAACTAAGGCCTGGGGGCCACATCTGGCCCAATCACCTTCTCAATCTGGCCTGCAGACGGTCCGGGAATCAGCGTGTTTTTACATGAGTAGAACGTGTCCTTTGATTTAAAATGCATCTCTGGGTTATTTGTGGGGCATAGAAATTCGTTCATTCCCCCCCCAATATAGTCTGGCCCCCCACAAGTTCTGAGGGGCAGTGGACCGGCCCCCTGCTGAAAAAGGTTGCTGACCCCTGTACTAGAGGTAGTGAGAAATTAGTAGAGTCAGATATGTTGCCTTAGCTGTAAGTTTGCAACTGGTCCACAAACAGAAACGTGACACTTTTTCCAATTACCTTACCGCCCTTTTGTTTGGGCACAATTTTCCTCTGTGGTTTGGACAAGACATGGTACCATTTTCTCCCTGGTTTGGAGTTGTAACAACTGGTGTGGAATGGCCGCCTTGAAACGTGTTGCTGGTTGGTTGTTTTTAACCTAACAGAGCAATAATCTGGATCATTTAGGGGGGGGGGAAATTACCTGAGTTTTACTGTAAATTGCACTCCAGTCTTCACGACCAACGGTCTCTGAGAGTGGGTCGGCATGCAAGGCTGTCTTTCTACCACGAAGGAACTGGACAAGGAATAAAGAAATGGCATTCTAATTTGTCTCGACAAGAGAATGAATTATGGCAAAGGGCACAAAAGAGCGACATTAAAAAATATAATCCATTTTAATATTTTGGTTCATTTTTAACGGACCCAAAAAACCCAAAACAAAACCCCCAAGCCTACCTCTGGATCAGTTGCTTGAAGAGGCTTAATGTCCGTTCATACAGCCCATTTTTCTGCTGAGGGATGGGGTCTGTGTCGTAGGTAAACTTCTGTTCCAACTCCTCCAGCTTTTTAAGCTGCTGACGAATTTGCTGAAGACTCTCTGCTACTGTAGTAAACCTACCATTTACAAGTGTTATATATTTTAACAGGGCTAAGCAATGTAGCTGGAACGCAGCAGAGTTAAGGTTTGAACACTCTACTTGCCCGGGGGTGGGGGTGGGGGGGACAGGACGGGACAAATTTCTTTTGTTTAGGAAAGAAAAGGGAAAGCAGTGCTTGCATACCCCAACCTTAACAGCTTTTCATTCTGCAAAGCTTAGGAGCACAGCATGTCTCAGCACCTGAGATCAAAACAGTCCTGCATCAACTTGCAGCTTCAGAGACTTGGGGTGTGGGGTGGAGGGAGGGAAAAAACTTATTCCTCCAAGGCCTGCAAAGCCAATATAAAGGTAAAGGGACCCCTGACCATTAGATCCAGTCGCGGACGACTCTGGGGTTCCAGCGCTCATCTCGCTTTATTGGCCGAGGGAGCCGGCGTACAGCTTCCGGGTCCTGTGGCCAGCATGACTAAGCCGCTTCTGGCGAACCAGAGCAGCGCACGGAAACGCCATTTACATTCCCACTGGATCTACTTGCACTTTGACGTGCTTTCAGACTACTAGGCTGGCAGGAGCAGGGACCGAGCAACGGGAGCTCACCCCGTCACGGGGATTCGAACCGCCGACCTTCTGATCAGCAAGTCCTAGGCTCTGTGGTTTAACCCACAGTGCCACCTGCGTCCCTCAGCAAAGCCAATGCACAGAGGGGGGGAAAGCCAATCTCTGAGGCAGCTCAGGAACCTGTTTTGCCTTCCTGTCAGGGCAGACCAACAAACATGCTGCTTCTGAACACTGAGAAGGCAGGAGGGGGGAAACTGGCCTTGAGAGAAAAGGGAAGACATTGCCCTTGTCTTCCTTAGTTAATGCCTCCCATGGCGTGGAGCAGAGAGAATGTAGTGTTTGGACCAGTGGATGTTGCCAAGCACAGAGGAGGAGAATCTGCAGGAAACATTTACTGAATAATAATAATAATAATAATAATAATAATAATAATAATAATAATAATATTATTATTATTATTTATTAATTATACCCCGCCCATCTGACTGGGTCCCCCCAGCCACTCTGGGCGGCTTCCAACAAAACACTAAAATACAATAACCTATTAAACATTAAAAGCTTCCCTAAACAGGGCTGCCTTTAGATGTCTTCTAAAAGTTTGGTAGTTATTTTTATCTTTGACATCTGGTGGGAGGGCGTTCCACAGGGCGGGCACCACTACCGAGAACGCCCTCTGCCTGGTTCCCTGTAACTTGGCTTCTCTCAGTGAGGGAACCACCAGAAGGCCCTCGGAGCTGGACCTCAGTGTCCGGGTAGAACGATGGGGGTGGAGACGCTCCTTCAGATATACTGGACCGAGGCCGTTTAGGGCTTTAAAGGTCAGCACCAACACTTTGAATTGTGCTCGGGAACGTACTGGGAGCCAGTGTAGGTCTTTCAAGACCGGTGTTATATGGTCTTGGCGGCCGCTCCCAGTCACATGTATTAACCTGCTTTCTTTCCACTGTGCAGTTCCAATGTGGAACTCAGGACCGCAATACCTCCAGGACCGCCTCTTTCCATATGAACCTACCTTGGACCCTGAGATCATCTTCTGAAGCCTTTCTTTGTGTGCCTCCTCCATGTGTGGTCTGGAGGATGGCAACACGAGAACGGGGCCTTCTCTGTGGTGGCTCCCCATCTGTGGAATGCTCTCCCCAGGGAAGTTCACCTGCCCCTTCATTATACAGTGGTACCTCGTTGAGTAGCCATTTTGTTGAACGTCCGAGGCAAACCCAGAAGTACCGGAACGGGTTACTTCCGGGTTTGCCGCTCGCACCCGGGCAGAGCGGCGCTTTGTCGTGCATCCTTTTTGTCTAGCGTCCGGGGCTCCGGAACGGATCCCCGTCGCAAAACAAGGTACAACTGTACACCTTTAGGCGGCAGGAAAAAGTGTTCCTCTTTAACCAGGCCTCTGGTTGACCTGATGCGACATCCTATACCCTTTTAAAATGTGGCTCTTTTTTGTGTGTGTGGGGGGGTGTTGTGTGTGTTATTGGCTTATTGTTCTTATTTGGATTTTATATATTGTGATCTTTTCTGTGAGCCGACCCGAGACCTCTGGGAATATAAATTCAAAAAATAAAAAATAAAAAATAAATAAAAGTGGTCTCCTATCCAGGCACTGAGCAGACTCAGATCTGCTTAGGTTCAATAAGGGGGCTTCAAGGCTGTGCGAAGGCTCCCATTTTACACTCTCCGCTTCCCCAAGCAGCTTTGGAAAAGCAGCCTCTATATACAATTCTCAATCAAGTTTTGCAGGGCTCGGTTCTTTCCAGACCCCTCCCCAAAAGGCCTTGCTTAGGAGAGGCCTACCAGTTCTGAAGCTGGTCCAAGCAAGCGTTGGGCGGCCCTCCAATGCAAGCCATTTGCTGCCTCTGCTTCCATTCCACCAGCTCCTCTCGAATCAAGGCGTTCTGGGTGTGTTCTGACACATGCAGCGCATTGGCTATTCTCTGTAGCACATCCTAGAGACAGAGACCCATTCAGGAATGAGTAGGAGCATTTAGAATTCTAAAAATCATCTCACATCAATAGCATTTATTATTTATTAAATATGTAAACCGGCCCCTTCATCCTCATATCTTGATTGGTTGAGAGGGGTTGTATGTTTGGGGACAGAGAGGTTCTCCTTTGAGGTCTCTGGTTTTTTGCCTGCGGGGTGCGCTTCTGAGGCTCGCCAGTTTTTCCTTCTGTAAAATGGGTACTTTGCAATGACCATGAAAGCTGCTCACATTTTCAAACATGCCTCCACATCCAAAAACGTTTGCAGTAATAGGCTTTGGGAAGCGCAACAGGACACATGCTCAGTTCGTGCAGGGAACCAACTACAGTGGTACTTTGGTTCCCAAACGCTGAAAACCTGGAAGTAAGTGTTCCGGTTTTCGAATGTTTTTCAGAAGCGGCTGTCGGCTATTGTTTCCAGGGCGCCTGCACCAATCAGAAGCTGCGCCTTGGTTTTCAAACATTTCGGAAGTCAAACAGACTTCTGGAACGGATTAGGTTTGGCACTTTTGTTTTTGTTATTTATTTTGCGCTTTTGTTTTTGAGGCTTTTTGGCTAATTTGTTTTTGTGACTGTGCAGCTGTTCAGCTACTGATCAATTGTGTGACTACGGAAATAGATAAAAGCCCTCCATCCAAACAATGACTATCATCATTAACTTTTATCATCTACAATCCTGTCTTATTTATTTTATAGTACAGTACATTGATTATCGCTTTTGTTTTATGGATCAATGGTCTTGTTATATAGTAAAATTCATGGTAAATTGCTGTTTAGGGGTTGTTTTTAAAAGTCTGGAACGGATTAATCTGTTTTGCATTAGTTTCTATGGGAAAGCGCACCCTGGTTTTGGAATGCTTTGGTTTTGGAATGGACTTCCGGAACGGATTAAGTTTGGGAACCAAGGTACCACTGAAAGCTTGTTGAGTTTCTCCCTCTGCTGAAAGCATGGCCTGGAGCAGCCAATGTAATGGACTTTTCATTTCCTGAGCATTGGGCTATGCTGGCTCATAGCTGTCAAGTGTCCCTCATTTGAAGGGACAGTCCCTTATTCCAGCGCCATGTCCCGCTGCTGTCCCTTATTGATGGATGTCCCTTAAATTTCAAAGGAAGCAGCTCCTCTCCCTCCCTCCCTCCCGGCCTGGGAGGAGGGAGGCTCCAACTGTGTTGCTTGGCTGTGTTGCTCACCCAATAAGAAGTCTAAGAACGACTGGGGGGGGGTAGAGCTTGCATGCCTTGTGTGTGGCTAGTTAATGCAGGCTGAGGGGTTTTTTGAATGCTGGACGCCATTTTGTTGCACGTGCTGCTGCAAACTTTGCAGTGCAAAGCCAGGCCAGGGAGCCATCTTAAGTTGAGGCTGCATAGGCCTTGTGGTGCATGTGATTCAGATTCTATCCAGTTGAACCTCTGGTTACAAAGTTGGCTGGACAGTGTTCTCGAAGCTACCAGCATTAGTTTGACCAGACTGAAGGACAGGAAGACTGGAGTGCCTGGAACAGGTGAGGCTGCAGGTCCATTATTTTGGCTGCTGGTCCCTTATTTTCAAATCTGTAAGTTGACAGCTATGTGCTGGCTTGGGCTGATGTTCAACATCTGGAAGGTCCTGTGTGTTGGCTACCCCTGGCCTTGAATAAAAACCAAAGTTTCCCTGTACTTTGCAAGGAGAGGTGAAGCACAAGTGGTCAAGATGTTTCTTAAGGAAAACACCTGCCTGCCTGCCAGCCAGTTCCCCACCTGTGCTAAGCCAAGGGAGGGGGGAGGGAGTTGCATACCAGCAATTTAGACAGGTATACAATGCCTCTCCACAAGTTCACCAAAGAATCACCTGTCTCATGAGGTCCAGCTGCAGATACATTGTGTGGAGCTGCATTTTTTCCTTTAGGAAGTCTTGCTGGGTCATACCACAGGGCTCATTTTCTGCAAAAACAGACCAAAGAAGAATTCCTGTGTTACGGCATTACATTTAAAGGACACTCTTAAGTTTGTGGAACTTTTAAAAAGAAAAGTAAAACCATATAGCTGAGCAGCTGGAATGTATTTAGGAGAGGGGAGTTCTGATTTTTTTTTGTCCCCTTCAAAAGCAGAAGTGCTCTGAAAACCAGAAACCTGTTCCTGCGCATTATAGACAAAGGTTTTAAGACAGACTTCCTTGTTAACGATGCTTAGGGAAACTGGTACTAATTCCATCCTCAAAGCCCACATATATATTGTGTCGTTCAACAGAAGAGTAAACCGTTGAGGGCGGACTTACAATCTTATCTCAAGAAAACAATGTTCCCAAACTCACAAGCTGTTCATAGGCAGCCGATTTAGAGTGTAATGAGAGGGAAACAAAGTTAAGTTTTTTAATTCATTCCTGTATTATTCCCTGGCAGATGAGCTTGAGGGATTTTCTGTCTCAGGTGCCGAAGCAAACTTAGCCAGCCACATCCTGGGACCCATGGAAGAGACGCCACTTGCTTCAGGCAGCCAGATGTTTTGCGCAGACCCTCCCCAAACCTTCATTTGCTGAGGTAATTTGCTAGAGGCACTTAGCCAAGTATGGTGTGCGCTCTCTCTCTCTCTCACACACACACACCCTCAGCCTCCCCCCCCCCCCGGTTTATGTCCAGTTGCAGAGATCCGTTGGGATAAAAAAATATTAAATGGCGGAGGCCAGCATTTTTATAAAAGAAAAACGTCATATACAGAAAAGGTTAAGAGCTCCTCACCCATCTGACAATCTTCCCTTTCTGTTAAGGCCTCAGGCCGTCTTCATAATGTTAAGTCCTGCATTCTGTCCCTGAGGAAACAATTGCCTGACTCCAGAGAGAAAATGTATGGTCCCAAGGGGTTTTTTTAAAAAAATATTTAAGGAAATAAGACTGAGAGAAAAGGACTACTGGATGGTTAAGTCCAGTCAAAGGCAACTATGGGGTTGCAGCGCTCATCTCGCTTTCAGGCCGACAGAGCCAGCGTTTGTCCACAGACAGGTTGGTCATGCGGCCATCTTCTGGCGCAATGGAACACCATGACGGAAACCAGAGCATACAGAAACGCCATATACCTTCCCGTCGCAATGGTACCTATTTAGCTACTTGCACTGGCGTGCTTTTGAACTGCTAAGTTGGCAGGAGCTGGGACAGAGCAACGGGAGCTGGGGATTCGAACCGCCGACCTTCCGTTCAGCAAGCCCAAGAGGCTCAATGGTTTAGCCCACAGCGCCACTCACGTCCCTTTACCTTTTCTATAATAAGTTTCACATGAAAAGCCGGCCTCACCCTCAAATCACAACTCCCGACAAAGCAGTACAAGCATTTTGCTAGAATGGTTATGTATTTGAACCCCTGCAAAGCTGAACTGCTCACCTCTGACCTGCAAGGTTTTGTATTTGAAGTCGTATTCATCTTGCGCATCCTCCAGATTTTTGATGATCTGTTCGATTCCCTGGAAAAGCAATGACCTCGTTTTCGGCATTCAAGCTTACGCACTGGGAAATGGCAAAGAATTCTTAAATTGCCCCACCCACCTTTCCTCCCAGGAGCTCAGCTTATCCCTCCCACCCCCTTTTATCTCTGCAACAACTCTGAGGGGTAAGGTTAGGCTAAGAGAGACAGAGACTGACTGGCCCAGGATCACCCAGTGAGATGTGTCTGAGTAGAGATTTGAACCCAAGCCTCCCCATTCCTAGTCCAACACCTGAACCACTATACTATACTGGCTCCTTATTATAGTGAGGTTTCAAGGACCGAAGGGAGAGACCATTTAGTCATGACTTGTCTAAGTAAACCAATTTAGACATCTAGGATAGTCAGTGACACAGTAAAGACATTCACACTTAACTCTGGTTAACTTCAACACTGGTTCAGATTCCAAACGTACAGGGATTGTGGAATGTGCGTTGAGACACTAGAAAAACCCGTTGGTGGTGCTGGGTTAAGAAAGCCCGCAAAGATGCAATGCTTAACACATCGTTTTTCCATTGGTCCCAATCTGAAACGGGGCTTCAGCAACTCGGATGCTCCCAGACCATCCCTGGGACCACTCTTAACCATGACGATGCAAAAAGGTTCTGCACTCATTCTAAACCATGGTTTCCCAACCATAACCATGGCTTAAATCAACCTTCCCTAAGCTTGGTTATGGATTTGGTATGACAGCTACCATTAGGATCTAGCTGGCATGGGCTAAAGCTCATAGTCTGGCAGTATCTTGTGGACCAGCATTGGGAAAGGCTAGTTTAGGCAATTTCAATGAAATTGAAAACAATGTAGGGCTTAACATGTATGTTTATTTAATTATTGCCCATCCTTCACCCCAAGAAACCAGGGTGGGTTGCAGCATTAAAAACAAATATTAAAAGAACTTACAAACATAATGTGGGTTTCTAAAAACACTGTCTGGAAAGGGCGATAGCCCAACCACTCTTTGGTTGAAAATTTGTGGTTGCGTTTCTTCCCGTGAGATACCAAGTGAAATAAACTTGCAAGAAAGCAGACAACAAAACTCTACAGCAGCACTGATGAGGTAGAGCCCCCTGGTCGACTCCAAAGATGAACAAACCCCTGTCCAAATGCGGCAAGGAAAGACAAGTCCCGTATTTTGCTCTCGCACCTCTCAGCATGCCTTCAAGTGCTTTTCGTCAACAAGTTTCAGCTTAAGAACTCCTGGACTTTCAATACTTACAGTGACACTATCCTTCACGCTTTTGACTTTCGCATCCAGTTCCTTCACTCTGCCCAGCACTACTGTGTTCTGCACAGTCCCCAGCTGCATCTGGAATGGAAACGAGAATGCATGGTGACATGCAGGAGGGACGAAGGACTACAATGCCCATCACCCCTGACCAATGCCCATGCTGGCGGGGACCGATGGGAGACTGACAGCATCTGAAGGTCTGCAGTTTGTCCACCCACATGGCTATGTACAAGAAACTAAACCCCAAAACAAATTATTCTCTACAAGGGACGGGCAAACTGAGCACCTGCTCACTTGGAGAAATCTCAAGAATGCTACTTGCACAGAAGTGGAAGGAAGAGAAAGTCTCAACTAAAGAAGAGTGAATAACCAAGATGGACGGACTATGCCGAAATGGCAAATATGACCGTGAGGATCAGGCACCAAGATGACAAGAAATTCAGTCAAGAGTGGGGAAAGTTTATAGAATATCTTAAAGGCCACTGTGTATACTTAAAAACGTTAGCAGGATTGTTGTAACACTTATAATGTAATATTAGTTAAGGTAAAAAAGGAGATAAAACGGATTAGACAAATGTAATTAGATGCAAAAAATATAGAGGGGAATTGGAAACCAGGGGTGGGGGAGGGGGGAAGTCTGAGGGACCCAAGTAATCCCAGGTGTGTAAAAACTGAAAATGATGTGAATGTATAACAACATTGTTTAAAGAATGAAATATTTAAAAAACCCCAACAGTAATTAAAAAAAGAGATTGTTCCACAGCTGAGGTGCCAGCACTAAGAAGGCCCTGCCATTCACTTGTTTTAACTTTGATGACACCCAGGTCAAGCAACAACAGAAACCCCCAAAGACAATCGCAGGCTCTGAGCAGACTTGACAGTGAAGGAGATCTTCTTGGAAGTCCAGCCTGAGCTTCGGCATGTAATGTTGGGGCGGCACTCCACATGGTGTGCTGTGTGAATGTCGCTGTGGATCTCTAGAGGGTATCTCTCAACGACATGATGCTGTTTGCCCAGAGACAAAAACGCAAGGGAGAAAACAGTTACCTTATCTACTTCCTCAGCCAACTTGAGGATTTTCTCTTCTTCGTGCAGACACTTGGAGATCATCATGGCCATGAACATGGGGTCTTCCTCAAATGTGTTCTAGAATACACCATAAAGAACAGGTTAATGCGAGCTGGCCCAGCTTCTCTCTCTTTTTGTTGCATTTGCCTATAAAATAACAACAACAGGAGAAACTAAACAACACTGACCAAGGCATCCTCAGGTTTCGACGTCCCATCAAACTCAAATAATAAAAGATGCTGAGTGCTCAGCCTCACAACAGGTGAGCTGCCAAGAAGCAGAAGTAGAGCCTATTCACACATGCACCTGGGCAAACCATAGTCCCGGGAAAAATCTGCCCTTATTTATGCTCATCTCAGTATTTTGCATTTCAGAAGACAGATCACAAGTATCCCACATCCTTCAGAGAGCCACCTTATTGCAGGTAGAGAGTCAATATGCATAAACTTCACTACTGCAGCTGTTATGTAGCAGCCCAAATTTGGGGGGCCAGTTCAACACACAAGATCCAAGATTGTGGACCAGTAAGTGTTGAACGCGGGGACGCGGGTGGCGCTGTGGGTAAAAGCCTCAGCGCCTAGGGCTTGCCGATCGAAAGGTCGGCGGCTCGAATCCCCGCGGCGGGGTGCGCTCCCGCTGCTCGGTCCCAGCGCCTGACAACCTAGCAGTTCGAAAGCACCCCCGGGTGCAAGTAGATAAATAGGGACCGCTTACCAGCAGGAAGGTAAACGGCGTTCCGTGTGCTGCACTGGCTCGCCAGATGCAGCTTGTCACGCTGGCCACGTGACCCGGAAGTGTCTCCGGACAGCGCTGGCCCCCGGCATATAGAGTGAGATGGGCGCACAACCCCAGAGTCTGTCAAGACTGGCCCGTACGGGCAGAGGTACCTTTACCTTTAAGTGTTGAACAAACATTAAAGGGGGGGGGATCTGCCAACATTACCCTTGATTTGAAGACATGATAAAATTTTCAGGACCGTAATACAAAGCTATTGGCTGTGAAGTATCGTATTTTCCGCTCTATAAGACGCACTTTTCCCTTCCTAAAAAGTAAGGGAAAATGTGTGTGCGTCTTATGGAGCGAATGAAGGCTGCGCGGCTATCCCAGAAGCCAGAACAGCAAGAGGCTATCCCAGAAGCCAGATCCCTCTTGCTGTTCTGGCTTCTGGGATTCAGAATATTTTATTTTTTCTTGTTTTCCTCCTCCAAAAACTAGGTGCGTCTTATCGGCTGGTGTATCCTATAGAGCGAAAAATATGGTAATTGCATGCATTCATTTGAAGTACTACGATACCACTTTAAACATTCCCCAAGAGAGTTTTGGGAGCTATAGTTTGTTACAGATGCTAAGAGTTGTTAGGGGACCAACTCCTCTCCTGTATTGAGGTTTTTAATGTTTGAGGTTTTTCTATGTGCTATATAAGCTGCCCAGAGTGTCTGGGGAAACCCAGCCAGATGGATGGGGTATAAATAATAAAATTATTATTCCAGTCCCAGAGGTACAATTTCAAGAGTACCCTATGAAGATGGATTGACTGGATAAATAAAATTGGCTTAGCAGTGTTCTTAAGACTGTTCTCATTTGTTTCACTGGTACATGACCAGGAAAACATCCAGCATTTACTTGGGGACACTATCAAGGCCCTTCTGAACGGAAGGATCATGGCGAGATCCTTGCATGAATGAAGAGCGTATGTAAACCATGTGAATAATTTTACATATTTTTTTTTACAGAGATACTTCTCATTCACAGGGACATTACCTGTAGGTTACGTTTGCTCTTCCTAATGTTGTGCTGAAGTAAAAAGTTGTTTTCCTGTGTGAAGCGGCTGTATTGGTCATCCAGCTGAGACAGCAGGTTATGGAACAGCAGAGTTGCCTGTGAAACATCGCTAGCAGCATGGTCCCTGGGAGATGAAGCAATGGAAGATTTTGACTTTCAGCCTTTTTACCCTTCCACAAACCTCCTTGCAAGGTCCTCTGCCCTTCCAGCAGCCTATTTTGGTTTATGATTTGCAGCAGCAATCCCAAGTAACAATACTGCACTGCAACTAGAATCAAATAGGTACAAATAAAGCGGACAGGTGTGCCACCATTATGTTTCGCGTTGGAGCAGCACCAGGTACCAGTGTTAGAAACTCAATATATATATAAGCTACACGCCAAATGGCTCCTTAAACCAAGGTTGCAGTCGCCAAAACAGAATGTCTAGTTGCCATTTTGGGGCAAGACGGCTCTGAAGTCTTGCTTTCCAAATGATGGATCGGTTGCGATCGATTCTCGGTTGAACTTCTGGCTTGTTCAGATGACAACCTTGAGCTAGAATAAGAAGTTTGAGAACTTGAAGAAGAAAAGTCACTTGATCCAGGGACAGTTCACATATATACAGTGCTACCTTGGCTCGCAAACGCCTTGGTACTCAAACAACTTGGAACCAAAACACTGCAAACCCAGAAGTCAAGTGTTCCAGCTTGCAAATGTTTTTCGGAAGCTGAATGTGCTCTGGGTTATTTGTAGGGCATAGGAATTCGTTCTTTTTTTCTTTCCTTTTTTAAAAATACAGTGCTACCTCGGGTTAAGTACTTAATTCATTCCGGAGGCCCATTCTTAACCTGAAACTGTGCTTAATCTGAAGCACCACTTTAGCTAATGGGGCCTCCCACTGCTGCCGCGCCTCTGGAGCACGATTTCTGTTCTCATCCTGAAGCAAAGTTCTTAACCTGAAGCACTATTTCTGGGTTAGCAGAGTCTGTAACCTGAAGCGTATGTAACCTGAAGTACCACTGTATAGTCCAGCCTACCACATGGTCTGAGGGACGGTGGACCAGCCCACGGCTGAAAAAGGTTGCTGACCCGTTATAAGAGTTTGGATTTGATATCCCGCTTTATCACTACCCGAAGGAGTCTCAAAGCGGCTAACATTCTCCTTTCCCTTCCTCCCCCACAACAAACACTCTGTGAGGTGAGTGGGGCTGAGAGACTTCAGAGAAGTGTCACTAGCCCAAGGTCACCCAGCAGCTGCATGTGGAGGAGCGGGGAATCGAACCTGGTTCACCAGATTATGAGTCCACCGCTCTTAACCACTACACCACACTGGCTCTGGTTATAGATCAATGGTCTCGTTAGATAGTAAAATTCAGGTTAAATTGCTTTTTTAGGTTTTTTATTTAAAAAGTCTGGAACGGATTAATCCATTTTTGCATTATGGGAATGCGTGCCTTTGATTTTGGAATGGACTTCCGGAACGGATTAAGTTTGACGACCAAGGTACCACTGTATTGGCCTATTCCGACCTCTTTCTTAACAATATCTGCTACTGCTCAGGAAAAGCAATTTTGTTCCAGAATTTCATTCCGATTGAGCAGATAAAATGTAACTGGTAGGGTGGGGTATTAGTGTGCAAAAACAGTCCAGATCCAATGATCCCTGGATGGTGGAGATGTCAGGCATCTTCACTTGGTCACAAGTGGTCAAGGACCAGATGCAAAATGAGCCTGTTAATTTCAAACACTGCCGGGTACCATGAAGTCAGGCAAGTAACATCCTCAATAGTATACGTTTCTTTGTCGACAAGACTTAGGATGTCGTTGGCTCAACTTGCTTACATCTCAACATTAAACTGGTTGCCAAACAAGGGCTTACAATACAACACGTTGTTTACTTGCTTTACCAAAACTTAGTTCCTATGCAAACATTATCTTTGGCACTTTTTAAAGCCCAATCGTTTTTGACAGGAGCAAATTAGGCCATGCACAGTTTGGAACACAATCTTATCATTTGACATCTCAAACACAAGTTGGCCTCTCACCAGTCTTGGGCTTCCAGCCACTGCGCGAGATACTGTCGTATCTCCATGGGGAAACTGTCATCATAGAGCTGGTGTACTTGCTCTAGAAATTTCGAATCCAACTGCTGCAGTTTATACCACTGACTCATCCTGCAGAATCAAAAGGAGAACAGTTTTTAAGAATACTTACCGTAACGTTCTCTTATCACACACCTCAGTGGAGATTTTAGCTTCCTCTTCTCTGAGATCAGAATGGAACTGCAGGCTACCAAAAGTTTAGGAAGCTAGCAAAAGGCAGAGACACCTGCAAGCCAGTAACTTGTGTGTTCACAAGGCTGCTCCATCAGAAAACGGCTTAGGCCCAGCTGTACTAAAAAGCAAACTTTAATTCTGTGCCAAGCAACACTGCATTTTATAATGTTTAATATTCAATGTCTTACTATGTTTCTATATGTGCTGTAAGCCGCCCAGAGTGGCTGGGGAAACCCGGCCAGATGGGCAGGGTATGAATTATTATTATGCTATACGAACAGCACAATTTTTCTGCCTTTGCAACAGGGAGTAAAAAGGCTAGTGGAGGAATTGTAAGGGTGGAAAATGGAGATGAACAGGACTTAGGCTGCAATCCCATACCCACTTACCTGGGAGTAAGCCGCACTGAATGCAACAGGGCTTACTTTTATAGCATTCTTCTGTTATAAGGTTAGGTGGATAGTGTATGTAGGTACAAATAATTTAAAATGTACAGGACAATTGCCAAACTGTTTGGCATCTGGACACATCCTGCAAAAAGTTCAGAAATCTCCCCCCTCTTGTGACTTACATTAATTCAGCAACTGGAGAAAAGAGGTGCAATCTAACCCCTAAGTTAAGCAGTATCGCACACCACTGGGTTCAATGGGCAAGATTTAACAGGCATGCTTTTAATCGTTCCCCACTGAAATCAGAGGGACAAAATAATGCTTAATTTGAACGGGATGATGCTCAGTGCATTTCTGCATTGGCTCCAGACAGATCGCAATCTGGACCAAGACAGGTAGGGAGAAATAACCCAATCTTTAGCACCTTAATAACCAATTCCCTCTTGTTTTGCTTTAATTCTGCCATGGGCGTAGCCAGGATTTATGTTGGGCAGGGGGCAGGACTTCTGTCTGGCTCTGTCTAGCAGATTCAGAATGAAACGTCTCAACAACAGCTGTTTTAAATTGTTTTCTTTTGACCCCAGAATAATCTGTCAAAATCTTACGTCATTTGACAACTAGAAGGTAAATAAATAAATAAATAAATAAACATCTGGGCAGTTAAAGGGTATAATTTGCAAAATTACAAAAAACACGCCTTTTAAAAAACAACAACCCTGAACTAAAACAAGTTTTCTTGAATTTGCTGAAAACCGTTTCACACTTCCTTCTCCAATTCCTTTTTTCCAATGCAGTTTTTCTGTGCACGCTCAGTAAGCATAGCCCACTGAGACTCCCCTGTGACCTCTGACCTTAGCCAGGTCTTTATGCTCCGCAAGGTACTGAATGACCGCTCTATGGTCCAAGTAGTGGTGCAAGGCTGAGCAAGAGATATAGTCAGTTAGTATTCTAAATTTCGATGTTCTGCAGACAATGGCTCACACATTTCAGGGAAGGATAAAATAATATGCCACATACATAAGTAACAAAAGCTGGCACTGCTAAATAAAGGATCAAAATCAGAACTGCTGTCATTACAATAATCAAGATTATGGAAGCAGAAAGAAATAAGAACTTTGTACCCTGAAATCCAACACCTGGGAAGTCACCCTTAATGGTTTCATTTGGTATTAGAATAATTTTTCAAAAAAAAATTGTATTGTAATTTGATATTGTGAAAATGTGGCTCTTTTGGATCAATGGGATTAAAAATTAATAAAAATTATTATACAAAATCAGGCACTGATTTTCCTAGGGAAAGGTACCTGCCAGTGAGGAAGATTGTTATATTTTTATTTATTTACTTGATGGGGGGGGGGGAGCTGCCCGCCCCCGGCTACGCATTCTGGCTCCGGAAAATAAGTGCAATCGCCAGCGAAGCTTGCAACACTGAAGGGTTTGCGACACATTCCAAGAATGCAACTGTGCAGCCCCATCTCCCACGTATACTTGGAAGTCGCGTCCAGCTGCTTCCGAAGAGAACTTGAAATGATGAAAAAACGAAAAATCTGAATGGGAAAAAAAAGGTTTTTCCTGAGTAACTGGTGCATTTGCACAGGAGGGGGAGAGAAAAAACTTCGAAACCATTCGCACCGTAAATGTAAAGCACACTTGATGCATATTTTACACCCCCCCCCCAAAAAAGGAATCCTGGCACCATTTGTTTAAGCGTGCTGCGAATTGCAGTTCTGTGCGGAGTAAACTATAGTTCCCCGATATATATACGTATTTAGAGAAGCAATGCCTAGAATGGATGCAGCCTTACTCTCGCATAATTCGAGGGAGAGCAGCCTTATTTTATATCCCGGCGTTGGAGAGACGCTTGCGCGAAGACCCTGGGAATCCGTAAGGCCCAAGCAGACGGCTGGCCCTTTTTGCATGCATCTATCTCCCTTGCATTCTTGGAGAGCCCAAAACTACGCAAGCACGGATGCAAGCAACACCTTGCTCCTTCCGCTTACCTGGCTGGTCTGCAGATGCCCCGGAGCGCGCGCCGATTCCCCCCTCCAACGATCCCCAACTCTGTCTAAAACGAAAGTAAGACAGACTAGGAAATAGCAAGCGGCGGCAGGCGCGCGACCAATCAGCGAGGCGCTGCTTTCGGCGAGCAACCATTCAGGAGAGTGTGTTCCGCCTTCTTTGAATAATAAGGCTGTTCCCACGATTGCGCCCTCCTCCCTCTCCGGCAAAAGCACAGCTGTAGCTTAGCAAAAGGGGCCGTGCTATTATCGACCTCTGATCTTGCTGTGCTCTTTTTGCAAACGTTTCCTAAAGCTAGCTAACGCGCTCTCTCGACCGTCTCCTCATCCTTGCCCTTTAAAAAAATAAATAAAAAGCATTGTTCCCCTTGGCAAGGTATGTGTGGGTGTGGATTTTTATGTATTTAAAAAATATCAAATTCAATCCATATATCTCAGGGCTGTTGACAGATGTTTCTTTGACAGAATTTGACACTACTGCTGCTGTTTTTTTTAATATATACTACTCGCGGGACGCGGGTGGCGCTGTGGGTTAAAGCCTCAGCGCCTAGGGCTTGCCGATCGAAAGGTCGGCGGTTCGAATCCCCGCGGCGGGGTGCGCTCCCGTTGCTCGGTCCCAGCGCCTGCCAACCTAGCAGTTCGGAAGCACCCCCAGGTGCAAGTAGATAAATAGGGACCGCTTACCAGCGGGAAGGTAAACAGCGTTTCCGTGTGCTGCGCTGGCTCGCCAGATGCAGCTTTGTCACGCTGGCCACGTGCCCCGGAAGTGTCTGCGGACAGCGCTGGCCCCCGGCCTCTTAAGTGAGATGGGCGCACAACCCTAGAGTCTGTCAAGACTGGCCCGTACGGGCAGGGGTACCTTTTACTCTTCATCAAGAGATCCCAGAGGCAGTTCAAAGAATAAAATTCAAGATAAAACACAGTAAATAATTAAGCCAAAACAACAAAACACCCTCCCCCTTCCCACAGATGCATTTAAAAGGCTGTAGAATATTCATCAGCCAAAGGTTGATTGAATAGGAATGTTTTAACCTGGTGCTAAAAATATATAATGAAAGCACCAGGCGAACCTCCCTACGGAGAGCATTCCGCGAACGGGGTGCCACTGCAGAAAAGGCCCGTTCTTATGTTGCCACCCTCCAGATGTCACTTGCAAGAAGAGCACAAAGAAGGGGCTCTGTTTGTTCCAACAGGGACAAAAACCTCGAGGTTAGTGAGTTTGAGAGGATTGCATGATGAGGGCTTCCTAATTTTTGCATGTGCTTGGCACAAAATAATTAGCAACCTAGTCCTAGGTGGAATCTACAAATCCAAGACTTGTAGCAAGAAGGGGTTTCCTGCACAATGCTCTGTAGCTCTACTCTGAAGTTAGCGCCCCCCCCCCAGCTGCATAGGATTAGCTCCCAGTTAAAAGCAGGTAAAAGGGACGCGGGTGGTGCTGTGGGTTAAACCACAGAGCCTAGGACTTGCCGATCAGAAGGTCAGCGGTTTGAATCCCCGCGACGGGGTGAGCTCCCATTGCTCGGTCCCTGCTCCTGCCAACCTAGCAGTTTGAAAGCACGTCAAAGTGCAAGGAGATAAATAGGTACTGCTCTGGCGGGAAGGTAAACGGCGTTTCCATGCGCTGCTCTGGTTCGCCATGCTGGCCACATGACCCGGAAGCTGTACGCCGGCTCCCTCGGCCAATAAAGCAAGATGAGCGCCACAACCCGAGTTGGCCACGACTGGACCTAATGGTCGGGGATCCCTTTACCTTTTTAAAAGCATATCAGATTACAGCTTCTGTTTAAATATTTGAAGCTTCCCTATGGTTTCGTACCTCCACAAAGGTCAGGTTTTCACAGTTGTGCGTTTCCTTTAGCATCAGTACTGTTGTAGGTAATGTCTCAAACTCTTAGTAAACTATAGATATGGGGTGGAGAGAGGAGGGAAGATTTCACCCAACGTGGAACTCCAACCCACAACCCTGAGATTAAGAGAGTCTATCCCAGGAAATAAGTTTCCTGTGTAGAACTTTTATTACATTGATGCCACCAAAGTTACCACCCTTGAACAATGAAGCAAAGCTGCCAAGTTCAATATTATCAAGCTTTTCGGTAAGGCAATGAACGGCCAGGGTCAAACATGCACAACCCGCTAGGAAACCCCCAAGATCCCAGCCTGCTTTTTCCAGCCAAACCACACAGAAAAGGGAGGAGGCGGATGCCGCGCCTGGGTGAAGGGCGGGAGGAGAGAGCTGTTCCTGGAACAGCACAGCCACACGTGCTTTCTGAGAAACAGGGACAAGTACGGGAAAGCCCTCGTCCGCAATGAAAACGAAAGTTAAAAACGGTCCCACGTGGTGGGAGCCTGGGGAGGGGAAGGAGAAAGAGCTAGCTTCAGAGAGATGGCCGGGAGGATTTGCTTTGACCTCCTTTCTCCTTTCGATTTCAATAACCTCCTCTGAATTAAAGAAAAGAAAGCAAAGCCCCAGCTTACTATTGCAGTGTTTCAGATCGATGCAAAGCGATATATGAGCGCGTCCATTGTAAAGCACTCTGAAAACAAGACAGGAACCCCGGAAGTTCAGAGGGGAGCTGTCAAGGAAATATTGGCATGGACTGAAATGGAAAATGTTGTAATTTGTTGCGTCTCCTGCACTGGCCAACATGGGGCGGCAGGGCTTAATAGATGATGCCAGGGAGCCCAAATCTGGTTTCACATCCAGCTTTTAAAACAGGATTGAAGTGGAAGTTAAGGGGGCCGGAGATGGTTAATAGTACCTAGTTCCTTATTTGCATGAAAGTTCGGAACACTGCTCAATCAGAAAACTTTTTTTAAAAACACATGTATTATACACACACTAGTGTTTGTACTTCTCTGTACCCCAAAATAAACTCTGGTCGATCTCATATAGTAACCAATTTTAGCATCTTCTCTGGTAGCAATGGAGAAAGGGAGGACTCTAGCATGAGCAGAATGCCTTCCTCTTATCACCATGGACAAAGCTTGATCCAGAAAGCATTGAACTCTTTTGTTTCTGTGGTTGTTTCTAGTTGTCCTGTATACTAAGGCATTCATTCGTGCATGCTATTACACACACACACACATGTATCTCTTGAAGGTTATGCAATGATCAAGAACAACAGCATTCATTATACATGCTTCATGTGTGCAAGTCCTTTCAGAGATTGAGAGGGGCTTGGGTAACTTCTAGTTTCTGAAACCCCTGGCTGTTATAAAAATAAAAAATGACAACACAGGAACACACAAAAAAGATAGACATAATTTGAGTATTTATTTGACAAATATTTTTTCTACCCTTCTTCTGTGCAAATGCACCAATTCATCAGATAAATCTTTTTTTGCCATTAAGATTTTTTGTTTTTTCATTATTCACTAAGATACAGAAAACTAATGTAAAAAAACAATCCACGGAAGAGTAGTAAAAATAGACTATGGAGTCCTCTCTTAAAGGTAGTTCTTAACCCTTACCACCCACAGAAGGTAGTAGTCCCTTCCAGCTCTAACCTGGGATCTAGGGGGAAAAATATAAGTTTCATTCAATGTCACAGCTGATATTAAGCATGATAAGCTGAGATATACTCGGAGTCGAGAGTAGATTTCATGCTCTTTATTCAGCTCATAGTGGTGAGGAGGAATGGAAGTTCCCCCAGAATGTCTGCTTTATATACATTATTTACACAATGGGTCCCACGTGATTGGCTAATTCTGGGATTCTCCTCTAGGCCAATCAGGTTGCGGAGTCACTTCCACCTGGAGCTGGATTGGGTGGCTCCTGTGGACCAATCAGACTGCTGCATTCTGAATCCTGTTGTTCTAGGACCAATCAGACTGCTGCATTTTGGATCCTATTCAACTCAGTACATAACATAAGCCCATTCCAATGTTCTTATCTCATAGTCAACTAGACTTAAAACTATAAAGACACAAAAATATAACAATTCTCTACCTTTCTACACATACTTGAACCAGGCTCAGGTAGTGGTTTCTTTATATAATCAGCTGATAGTCATATTCACTATACACTCTCCAGCCAAGGGGGTCTGCTATTCTTTTGGCCATGCAAAAACCACTTGTCTTGGAGCTAGAAAATCCAGTTCTCAATGTCCAGCCATTTCTGGATGTGTGTCAATTTATTCAATATTTCCAATGCGGCTAGGCTTCAATGAAAGGCCCAATATGTTTTCACACATAATTACGTTGCTTGCAGTCACTTTAGCTTGTAGTTTTTAAGGCTGCTTTGAAGAGTTATTCACACATATGTGTGCTTGGCTCAGTTCTCCATTGTATCAAGGTTTAATATATTGTAAGAATGACAGTTTGGTGCACACAGATTAAAATATCACAAGAATAAATATATAGCAAAAATACATAACCTTTGTGGATATGCATGACATGGAAGATTTGTTGAAAACATGGTGGATTTTGGAATGGCTGCCAGGATTCATAGTTCAGGATCCAGAAGTGGCAAGAATTGAAATATAGAACCCCAATTTTTAGGGAGTGGGAAGGACAGATTGCAAAGAGTAGCAGTAATTCTACTACAATTCTCCATTAAATTATATCTATATAGAGTATAAAGGCAGAAATAATATTTTTAGACCTGTGCAACTAATTTGATTCTAGCTTTTCAGTAGTACATCCATTTCCTAATTTTTCATTGCCACTTGTTTCATGTACTAAGTTCTAGTCCCAGTTCAGACATAATGCTAAACTAGGGTTGTGAGAATAAGCCAAAGTGAGCCTCAGGCTTGCACAGTGCCAATGCTCTCCTCCTTCACATGCAATGTCAGGAAAGTGCATACTTCCATCCAGGGCCAGATTTAGGTTTGATGAGGCCCTAAGCTACTGAAGGTAATGGGGCCCTTTATATGTCCAGCTGTCCTTTGTCAACAACAAATTGTCACTGTTTTTTGTGTTGAATATATGCTATATGGTAATTTATGGACCTAATAGGTATCTAAAGCCATTTGCACATAACAAAATATGTATTTTATCAAAGTGATTGTTGAACTGAAATACAATTAAGAAGAAGTATATTAATAGTGTAATACAATTAAGAAGTATTGGGGGGGGGCCAAGAGAGT